ATCAGTGAAGCGCCGCCACTGAGATGGGTATGTTCCCACAGGACATCCTGCTTTCTGCCAGCGCCGAAACTCCTCATAGAAGGCATCAGTCAGCAACGCTGCCTCCCAGGGGAAATTGCCTGTTAGCATACAAAAAATCAGCACGCCAAATGCCCACACATCCAGACTGGTGGTCACAAGGAAACCCTCTGCACGGCTGGCACGGCACACTTCTGGTGCTGTGTAGGGGATGGTGCCACTCACACGTTTCACACGGCAGCCAACACGCCGGGTCATGCCAAAGTCAGCCAGCTTGATGCGGCGGCACTCGCGGTCGAACAAGAGCACGTTCTCAGGTTTGACATCCCGATGCACCAAGTTTTTACCGTGCATAAAGTCCAGGGCCAAGCCCAGTTGTTGCATGCAACGTTTGACCATTTCCTCTGGCAGACCCACCTGAGGGGAAGACAGAGGAGAGGAGAGGACAAAGTGTTGGGAGACAGAAAAACAAGGAAGATTTTGATTAATCCAGTCTAATTGATACAAGAACTGTGTTTTGCAGGTTAGAATATTGTTTTTAAAAACTAGGTGATGGTTATGCTGAGTGTAGGAACAAACAGTATTGGGTGAATAGCGAAAAGCTTCAAGAAGAAAAGCTGAATCATAGCTTCAGTTCTGAGTTCTGCTGCAACAAAGTTTAATGAGTCATAGGAAGAACCTTGAAGTTAAGCATCAACTGGAGTAGCACTAAAGCAAAATGAGAGCTCTGCGCAGACAGAAAACCGGGACGAAGACAGGGCTCCAATCCCAGGAGAGCTTATTAAAACCACTGTGTCTGAACATGGCAACCGATTGGAGCAGCTCTGGCTGAATGAGGATGGTGACTGGTAGAAGGAAGGATGACAGCGTTACCTGTGGGGGGATGATGTCGAAAAGGTCCCCAGCTGGGGCATATTCTTGTCCAAACACATAGCTGTCATCTGTCTCAAACAGCACATCCAGGACTTTGATGATGAAAGGGCTGCAGCTAAGTGAGCCTGTTAGACTGTACTCCCGCAAGAAACTCTTCAGCTTTGTCTTGTTCTTGGTGACAAATTTCAGCGCCATTTTGGTGCCTACAAAAATCAAAAATAAACATAACACACGGACAGACACAAATAAGCTCAGGTGTATTTAACCTGTATATCACATCAGGTCACACCACATCTCTCTAATTGTTATACTAAAAGCACTATTGTAAATCGGGTGCCCAGCCTGTCTTTGTAACAGCTGTTACATTCATTCACATAAAAATGAATCTTACCTCATAACACACATACAACCAGCTGTTCACAACCACACCTGCAGAAATACAGAGGCTCTTCAGTGCACTTACAGCACTTTTAAACTCAGATGCCTTGTCAGCCTTTCAGTCGCTTGCTGCACTACTTTACAATTCTTACTTAAACTGATTTCAGACTGAGTTTACTGTCTAACCTTAATTTTCTCAAACCCAAGTGTTTGCTGAAATACATTTCTTGGGACCATGTTTTGAGACTTCCAAACATGCTGGTCTGCACTGGTTATCCTCAACAGTGAGGCATGCTGGCACAATAGGGATACTCAGATGAGAACAGTCTGATTTCAAAAATGTCTTTTTGTATTTATGCTTTATTAGATGGTTGACAGTCAAAAAATACTAATTAGACAGAGACAGAGGATTTTGAACCCCTGACACCTTAACCTGCTTACCCTGTGTTCGGTGTGCCACCAGGTCCACCTTGCCGTACGTTCCCTTCCCCAGCTCCCGAATGTGCTCATACTGTTTGGCTACATCAGCTGCTGACAGAGAGGTGATGGCCAGGGCCTGCATGTCCTCTACAGGCACCCCTCCGCAGTAGCCCATCTTGGAAGTAGGGGAGCCCCCACCGCTGCCCACCCGTCCCGGCCCAGATGGAGAAAGGGACAGGCTCGCCTTGACGCTGTGGGGCAAGCTAAATAAAGGGTAGAGTCAGGTTTTATTATGCTGTGCTGAAGGAAGGTGATATAAATCTTTTGCATAAATGTGTTTATGACAGAATGCTTTCAGGATGCTTATTGATGTTTATTTATTTATACTTATTGGTGTATTTTCATATATTCTTGTCAGTACAGCAGCATGTCCCAGAGGTTGGTTAAATCAGAACTTCATTTCCATACAATCAATTCAGGGAAGGCATCTAAAGGGGAAGTGCTTTCAGTAAATGTACATATCGGACTTCCCGCTGTCCACTGAGATCACTCTGGCTGGCTTTCAGATATGGCAGGGCTCAGACTGCACTTACTGGCAGACAGCTATGGGAAAATCAATATGAACAGGTAGAAGGGCTAACAAATGCAAATATGGAAAAAGCTGATTGCTTCAAAGACAAACTAGGTCGTGTGTGACCACTCTTCTCCATGTAATAGAAAAATCTGCATGGCTATGAGAAAAGAGGTTGCTTAGCTTTGCCTGCAAAACACATTTGGTTTGCAAAGTGGTTGCTCTGAGTATTTCGGTCAAGTTGCTGAAGCTGAAAAAATACTGCAACAGAAAAGTTATTTCAGATTTTCAGAGGTTTGAAACACTGTAGGTCAAACTCATCCTAAGAGGGGAAAATGGCTAATTTAATTGCAAGCTTAGACACTAAATGTACCAACTGACAAAACATTTAAAATCAGAGATGAGTGACTGTGGATTTGACCCTCTGACTTTGAGCAAATGATGAGTAAAATGAAAGAAAACTAGAACTATTGAACAAACTGCACTAAATAGACCTTTTGATGAAATGGAGCAGATCACAGTAATGATTTTTACCCTGTTGCTGTCTCTCTTCAGACCCCCCTTTCCACACACAATCAAATGTAATCATCCACTCATGCACAGCATGCACATACACATAAACTAACAGGCACCAAATCATCACAAACAAATCTGCTGATGAACTCTTTCATCCATCATTCAAAGGTAAGTGCTTTGCTCTTTGTTCTTCTTTCCCTGCAGCCAGTTTCTCAGCACCACCCAGGTTGAAAACACCTAAACAAGAGCATCACTAACGCGTCCGTGTCGGCTGTCAGGTACGTTTTGGAAACATGCTGAACTACTACCCAGTACCTAATGCACAAGACAAGGCACAGGATGTTTCGCTAAGACATTCTGAAGGTGTTGAGGTTCCTATCTTGTGGGAAGAGTGTGATAAATATAGCTATTAGACAGTGGAAACTAAAATAGGATGTGACCATTTGCAGCCTTGTGTTCTTGGCTCAGTACTCTTTGTCAAAGGAAAAAAATGAAACAACACTGCAAATAGAAAATTAAATTGTACTCTGTGTACCATATAAATCTCTACAGATCACATTTGCTCCTTGATTTTATGATAAGCTTTGAGATGGTTATATAAGAGACTAGGAATATTGTAGCCTACTCATGCTGCGCACTGTATAGCCTTCAGCGAGTCAACACAAAAGTTGATCGCTACCCAGACCAGTACAGACAGACAGACTGGAAGTGCATTTCTGACCGCCCACCCCCGCATCACCCCAAAGCCTCTCACATAACGAAGCAGAGTGAAGGGAATGCTTGTTTACTGGCACTATATTCCAGTCAGCTTCACAGGCAGAATGTGCAGCACTCCAGCATGGATCTTAATCACATTACTGAGCTCCCACAAAGACAAACCCCCCACCCACCCAACAGCACAGGATGCTTTGCACTCATTTCCTTTGCAAAACTGGATTAAGAGTCCTGAAATGTGATGTGTTAGGGAGACAGTGCTCACCGCAACTGCAGTCACGCTGTAAATGTTAACCAGACACTGCATTGTCCCTGGGAGGTTTGGGGATGAAGTTAAGCGGTCTCTGGGAGATCACTGTCCATATGTGTGTGTTTGTGGGGGTGTATCATTATATTAGAGGCCCTTTGTGTTCCTACCTCTGAGAGGGAGCAGCTGTGAGGCTCCGCACGACTCAGCATTTGTGCTCAACCACAGGCACATGCCTCACTGATCTCCCGTGCTGCCCTCTGCCCCTTTCACGTCCTCTCAAACAGCTAAATACAAGGTAACGGCAGCACGCTCCACATACAGATGAGATTTAGCTCGAGATACGTTTTAATGTCGAGTTTTTGAACCAGTTCCACTCATTGTTAATTATCTGTCTAAAAACAAATCCCTGAGCTGCTCGCTTGTTCTTGGTTGTTTGTTTGTTTTTTTTTTTTTTTTTTTGTTTTTTTTTTGGGCACTAAGACCTTGTAACTTATTACACATTAACTATAATGAAAAAATTCCTCTGATAACTGAGCATGTCAAAACTGATCTCAGTAGAGAAAAAGGCAATCTGAAAACAAGTGGTCTGAAAGCATGCCTGTTGTTTTAAATCCTAAAAGTGGAGATACAAGGTTTTTGCTCAGCATTGTCAACCTGTTTCCAGCCACTAATTTTCCCTCAATTACAGATTGCCAGTGTCGCTCCATTTAGCAATTACTCAAACCGAGATGAGTGCATTTGCATTCTAACCCTATTAAGAACCAGGTTGTTCCCAGAAAAAGGCCAAACACCTAGGAAGCCTGTTGCTGGCTCCATGTGTTCTCACATGAGATTAAACTACAGAAGCAGTTGACCCTTTCTTCTACAAACACTGGAAATGAGAAATGAGATGAACCCTGAGATGAACACAGAAGCACATTATTTGATGTGATACCTCAATTTTATTCTTTGTTCAGAATAAACACTCACTTCATTTCTGATGCAACACATTCCAAAAAAGGTTGGGACAGTAAAGCATTTACCAAGGTGTGATGTTGTTGTTCCTTTTCACAACACTTAAGACATTTAGGGACTGAGGATGCCGAGTGATTAAGTGTGGCAGGTGTCATTTTGACTTAATTGTTTTGGAATGTGAAGTCTTTATTCTGAACAACGAATAAAATTAGTGAGGTATCACATCAAATTCTGTGCTACTGTATTGCTTTCAATGTAATACAGGTCACAGATTATTTACAAATCACTATTTTCAGTTTTAATTTTGATTTTACATACCGCCCCAACTTTTTCTGATTTGGGGATGTATTAACAATTCATTACCATTGGGAAAAAAAAGACTGCAATCATATACCTTGTATTGTGACTCGTAAGGGGCAATAACTGTGCATTCAGATTTCCCCCCAGTCTAAATTATATGAGCAATAAACAGTGACAGGACACTGACCACAGAAAGACATGAATAAAATAAACAATCACACTTCATTAATAGGTTGCAGTCAGTCAGTCATCTTCTATACCGTTCAGTCCCAGATGGGGTAGTGGGGATAGGTTGCATCAAAGATTAATTTTGTTCTTTTTGTACATGCTCCCATTGGGATCTATTTTAAGGAAATATGGCCTCTCTTTTCATTGTTATGCTGACGACATTCAGATTTACTTACCATTGAAGGCAACAAGAGGGATGTCATTACAACCATTGTTTGACTGTCTGACAGACTTGAAATCATGGTTGGCACTTAACTTTTTAAATCTCAATGAAAATAAGACTGAGTGTGTGCTTTTAGGACCTGGCGAACCTAACTGCTTCTAACCAGGGCCTGGGCCCCCTAGCTCGACACCTGAAGTCAACTGTAAAAAATCTAGGGGTGATGTTTGATGGCGACTTGAGGTTTGACCAGCAGATCAACTCAGTTGTGAAATCTAGCTTCTTCCACCTGAGGCTGATAAGCAAGGTCAAGTCATTCCTTTCTTTTAATGATTTGGAGATGGCAATTCATGCTTTTATCACTTCTAGACTTGATTATTGCGATACTCTATACTATGGTGTTAACCAGTCCTCCCTCACTCGTCTCCAAATGGTGCAAAATGCTGCTGCTCGTCTTTTAACATGTACTAGGAAATTCGAGCATATAACCCTGGTACTGGCGTCTCCACTGGCTTCCAGTCCGTTTTAGAATTGATTTTAAGTTATTGATTTTTGTTTTTAAGGCTCTTAATGGTTTGGCACCATTTTACCTCACTGAACTAGTGCACTGGCACAAACCTACAAGGTCCCTCAGATCTTCAAGTCAGTTTCTTTTAGAGGTTCCTAGGGTCAGATATAAACGCTGGGGTGACCACGCTTTTACTGTTGCAGCCCCTAAATTATGGAATAGTCTACTTTTTAATGACAGGTCAGCTACTGACCTCAGTACTTTTAAATCCTTGCTTAAAACCTATTTATTTGGCTTGGCTTTTAATACACAGTAGGGCTTGATGTATTCCTTTTAACTCCTTTTAACTTAATTTTAATTTATTGAATATATGTTATGTCTGTTTGTTATTGTGCTATTTTATTTTTATTTGCACTGATTTTATTTTCTTTATTTTAGTTATTTATTGTGATTTTATTTTGCCATGTAAAGTACTTTGGTCAGCTGGATGTTGTTTTAAAGTGCTATATAAATAAATTTGATTTGATTAAAAATGTGGGTATTAGAATTTGCACTAAATGTATTTTAATGTACACAAACCATATAATATAGTGAACAGGGTATCAGAGGCATAATCCAGCCTTCCTTCCTGCCTCCTCTCCTCTTTGTGTCTTGTCTGTTCCTGAAAATGTAAACAAGGGACTAATGAAAGAAATAAACAGATTACAGAGCCTGCCTCACATCTCTACCTCTCTTCATTGCTAATGGTCAGGTTGCTTTGCTCCCGGCAAAAGAGTAATTATGGGTCTGATCGGTCCAATTTACTCTTAAAATGCCCAACATGGCTCAAAGTGAAACCAGAGTGAAGTATGATGTGACTGTGGTGGGTTCTCTCCTAGTCTGTCTCAAAATAAAACATCTCTCTGTATAGTGCACATACACATTTAGCTGGTGTATATATTTGTGTCCCTCTCCTTGTTGTCTCGGTGTGGAGGGGTAGAATAAAAACAAATCTTTGCACCTAAAAATAAATCTACCATTCAATCAAAAACCATATGGGCTTCCTCGTGACAGCCAGGACGCTATGTTCCCTACTCAAGCATAAAAAACTGAACCACCTTCCTCACTGGCACAGAACATCAGAGATGGTGAGTTGGTGGGTGTAGTGCCTGTGTCAGAGAAACCTCCAGCAGTGCTGTGATAAATGAACCAGTAGCCCAGGCCACAGACTCTCACTCTGACAAATCAGCTGTTCTCAGCTGCACCCGACAGCCCATATGGAGGATCCCTGCTGGGACCAAAAGCTGTCTAACCCATCTCTGATTTCTCATGCCTCTGCCTTCCTAGCCATCATCCCTTTCTCTTTCCACTGTATGTTACACACCCATGAGGCTACAACCAGCTGCTGGCCTCCTGCTGGGATGACCTAAGACTCAGGAATGGACCCATGACTGAGCGTGGAGCTGATTCAGTGCTGATGACAAATGACTACTGACACACCAAACAAACAAAGCTGAAACCCTCAATATTGCAATATGGGATTAGATGCTGGAGTATCTGATTGTAAATACCAATCATGATCAGTGTCATCACCGCCCACGTACTGAAAAAATCATTCAGGAGTGAAATATTGCTGTAATAAGATACCTATTGAACATACTGTACCTAACCACAAAAGTATAACAATTCAGTAACCTCAAGCTCCAATAGGGAGGCTTCAAGTAGGAAGAAAGAGAGAGAGCAGGTTTGGGGAAATCCAGTGAGGATGAAATGAGGCATCCCACCCTCTGTGCCACAAGCTATGGACTGCATCCTTTTGATGTCAAATGCATGGAGAAATGTGACTCTAATGTGAGTTCAGGAAAATGGAGTCTAAATATGGATGTGGCTAAATGAAATGACACTGCCTCTTTCTCTCTTTATTTTTCAAACCATTTCACCCTCCACTTCAAGATAAACTGAGAGTTTATGGCGCTTCCGCTCAACCCCTCCCCCTGACCCCTCTCTCTTTTTATCGCTCTCTGTCTCCATTTCAAATACTTTAATTACACGAAAAAGCAGATGAGTCATCACCGGAAAAGCAGGAATAAGACAACATAAAATATGAGATAATTAAAAACAAAGATAAGTCAAACATTGCTTAACCAAACACTAATGCAATCATTTTTAAATGTAATGGGTCAAATGGAACACATAAAACAAACAAGCACAACAAACACAAAGATAATTACATGCAGTATACATGGATATTCATGTATTCATACTATGAATACATTCAGCATGTGCATAGATTGACAGAGGTATCATTAAGCAGCTGTCATCTCACTGAGATGATGGCAAGTTAGACTGCACAAAAATTTGTAGCATTTCTGTCTTTACAGCAGGCCACAGACTTTTGAACAGAGCACAAAACATGCTTCTTTTCCTCCGTGTGTCCTAAAAGACAGTGCATGCATCTTTTCTTTTTTTCTTTAGGCAGCCATATTTTCCTGCAGCAGCTAATCTATGGCCAGACTGGGTCTGATTCTGTACTTGTTAGCCGTTTCTCCAAGATGTGGCTAGGTGAGGGGTAGGTTTAGTTGGTGTTTGTGTACCAGCTGTTGAAGTGGGTCATATATATAAGAACCTTTATATTGCAGCTGCCTAAGCTGTTTGCAAATGTCTCCCCGGTTCTACAGATGGTGTTTGAGACATTTGAAATCCCATCATTTTTTTGTTAAATGCAAGGTGAAGAACTTTAGAGGACATCCTGTTTATAACTGATTTTATTAAATGGGGCTCACTTTCATGAAAGAACTCATGCTTATATGCATTTACCCTTTGGGGGGGTTTGTCTTCTGTTGCTGAAGACCACTGTTCCTATGGCTCTAAATTTGATTTGATTTTCTCATGAACTACTCCTTTAGGGAAACAGTTCTGCCTGTATTGCAGCTTTTCTCGTTCAGCTCAATGTTTCTGACAAAAGCAAATCCATATGTATTGGTCTGCTGTTGTGTTTCATTTAGAGTCCATTGTTAGTCTCCCAGCTTTGGCTTGCTCTATCAAGTCAGCTGCTTATTTAAATGCATTAGATGGCATTAACAATGAGATATCACCTGTCCACCCTGGACAAAATATAAAAGGGCCATTAAAAGTGGAGCACCCCGGATGCCCTTGCATCCATCAAGCACAGACTGTATCACAAAAGCAGAGCAGGAAACAAATAAGTGGGTGAAAATATAAAATAAATCACAGTGCAACCATAAACACTGGTTAGAGATATAGCTTCATGGAAAATGAAGCTGTAGTGCTGTACAGCTTAATAACTGCTGTTACTAAGGATATATTACTGCACAGCAGGCTTTTAAGTAATGTGGATATACTATCCATTGAGATTGGATCAAAGTTCAGGCGACACAAATTTACTTGGGAAGTACCTGTAGCCAATTCCACAAATAAAAACAAGACCCACACCATGTTTTATTTAAAAAAGAAAAAAAAAATCGAAATATTTTTGTTTTAATAATTCCAGTATGAATCATGCGTAAAACCCCGTATACACTATATATTTACTGATCTGGCTTTCTGTCTTTGGGGAGCATAGTATCTTGTAAATTGTCCCGGCTTTAAGCACCTCAGGGTGCATCTAGACTCACCTACTGGCGACCTGTCTCTCTCCTCCATGGTCCTGCATCCGCTCGGCGAGCAGAGCTGCTGCGCCCTGCTCAGCACGGATCCGCGGGGGTCTGCTCGAACCTGATCGACGGATCTCCTCGTTTGAAGGAAGTTGCGGATCAGTTATAGATGCTAAGAAAGCCGTGCATGCCCTTCAAAAACCTCAACATATTGCAGTTTCACGACTGACAAAGAATGGACAGGAGGTCCGTCGCTGCTCTTTGCTTGTTGCCTGTGATGATTCCTGTTCCTAGAGATGCTCTTCAGTTTGTGACTTGCTTTGGAGGCGGATTAAATCAAAGCATCATCTCATGCCGGATGCTGAGATGAGGAGACAGGCTGGGATCCCTCCTCTGAGCGTCCACCTTCTCAACCTGCCAAGCAGCGGGAGGAGGGTGCGTGTTTATCTTTCGCTCCTCCAGTGATCCGCATGACCCAGTTTAGCACAGCACACACTATGACGAATCCATTCATTCACATCCACACAAGGGGCTCAGAAAAGCTATGCTTACTGCAGCATGCATGGAAAAATCTGCATGTTCCCACTCCTAAACTCAGCCCAGCATCCTGCTGTCACTGTCAGCCGGTCAGCCTGGTTTGTCCATCAGTCCAGCAGGACTCTGGGGTTGAGTGGAGGTTGGTCTCAGATGTTGCTTCTCTGCTGGTCGTACCACTCAGCTCCTTCATTGTGCTCGCCGTCTCCACCCTCTGGCAAACTAATACACTCACGTGTCCCGGGTCCTAGTGCCTGGATGCTCCCCTCCCAACCAGCGTCCAACTTCACTGTGTAGACTCTTCTGCTTTGTAGAAACATGCTGCATAATTCAGCAGCTTATGACTCAAGTAGTTCAAATGGTGACTTTGCCAACAGCTTTTATTAGGCAAGACTTTCAGTTAATTCGCTGTCCTGACAGATCCCCTTTGCTCTAGCTGCATGTTTAACTACAGGCCTCCTGCCAGACATGTTTGCCAACCAGAACAGATTGGTTTGAGAAAACAGCATTGACTTAAACAGACATAATCTCACTCAGTGCATCATAATCATCAAAGACTGAAGGGGTGGCGTGTGTGGAAGATGGTGTTTTGTTTGTTTAAATAAAAATAAATGAATGTGCTAAAGTTACCCAGAAAATCTTTGTTACATTCTGTCAGTATGAACTTTCTTCAAACTTCATATGTAACACAATAAATATCCTAAGACCAACTTTTTAATTGGCTACTTTTTCCTTTGCTGCATCAACTTTTCCTGCTTCTAATTCTACTTTTAATTTTTTCAGCTTTCTATTTTTCACAGATTTTCAGCATCCCAGGATTTAGAAACCAACGACCCTGCAATGAGAGAAAAAACCTGTTCTACCTCCTGAACCACAGGCCCACGTGGTTAGATATTGACAAACTGCAGCACCTTTTTGAGATTTTCAGGTGTCTCGAACTGCAAAGTTAGGCCAAGGGGCAGTCAGGTGCAGAGTTTCTTTTGGGCTATCATGGGAACAGAGCCTTCATAAATCATAGGAAAGGTCAAACACACTGGTGCGTGGAACAAATAGAGCAGGGCTGTGCCTCCTGTTCCTCCTTTTTCAGCCGGACCCACGTCCTAGTTTTTTACTTTTTAATGTGTCACCTCCAGTTTTACACCTCTTGTTGTAAGGGGTGGCCTTGTTTTTTCCCTGGTCTTAAATGTAGCTTCATGCAACTGTTCCTTTGTGTCCTAGCCCTACAAACTGCAGTATTATAGTCGGGGTGTCTACCCAGGGTCTCAAATTCTGGGAGGTATCCTAAAGTGTTTTGTGGGTCACAGTAAGATTATGCTTTTATTTTATGTTACTATGTTTATGTGTGCTGCAACATTTACTTTGCACAGCAGGTACTTATATTTTATACACAAGAGAGATTTAATGACTTTTGTTATGATTTGTGGACTTGCTTCTTGTTGGAGGCTTTTATTTTGCCTAGTTTCCTGTTTTCTGTCACCTCACCTGCCCCAGATTTACTCCGATCTACAATCACCACTCATTGTGTTCACCTGTCCCTAGTTTTCCTCTGGTTTCTTGTGTATTTATACTCCCTCTTTCCCCAAGTCTGGTTGATGGTTCATCTGTTCTCCATGCTTTGTTGACCCTGTCATCCGTCTCCCTGCATACCACACCTTGCATGTTTTTGTATCAGTTGCTATTGGACTGGCTTCCAGTCCATTTTAGAATTCATTTTAAGCTATTGATTTTGTTTTTAAGGCTCTTAATGGTTTGGCACCGCCCTACCTTGCTGAGTTGGTGAGGTGGCACAAACCGACTAGATTACTCAGATCCTCAAGCCAGTTTGTTAGAGGTGCCCAGGGCCAGATACAAACGCTGGGGTGACCGTGCTTTTATTGTTGCAGCTCCTAAATTGTGGAATGGTTTACCTTTTAATGTTGGATCCTCTACAGACTTAACAACTTTTAAATCATTGGTTAAAACATGTTTATTTCCTTTGGCTTTTAATATATAGTATTGTCTGATGCTTCCTCTTAACTGATTCTGTATAGTTCCTGTTTTTGTTTCTGTGTTTTATTTCTCTATTTGACATTATTCTGGTTTTTACATTACCCTTATAAAGTACTTTGGTTGTCCAGACGTTGCTTTTAAAGTGCTATACAAATAAATTTTGAGTTTTTCCTGTTAGCAAGAATCTTGGTTGGTTCTCTGGATTTGTTTGTTTCATGTAGGTCCCTGACAGTCCGGTTTAGATATTGTTTTATTCCTGTATGGTGAAGTCCTGTCAGGTTGAACATCTGTTTACCCCTTTGTTCCTCTTCATTTATATAAACTGAACACTAGACTCCAGACCCCATCTGCTTTTTGGGTCCTTCCTGCCCCAGACATAACTTAAGGGAACATGTGAGGTAACAAGAGGCAGACAAAGTATGGAACTTAAAACATACTGCTCATGTACAAAGCTATAGCCCACTGTCAGGCACTTGTCTACAGCAGTTGCCTTCTGTCACGTTTTAGTTCATTTCTCTTGCTTTCACTTTTTCAGTCTCACCTGACTCCCCAGTGGTAAAGTGATTGACTGTAGTCACAACGATAGGCTGGCTCAGTTTTCCACAATCCAAAAAACAAAATACAGTAAGGAGCTCACAGACTTTCTCCCATTGATTTGTCCATGTTAACTCCTTTTCTTCTGATTCTGTGGTTTTTCCCTATAAAGCAACATGTCAAAAAAGTACCCTGAATGCAAATGAGTGCCATAAATTGGTTCAGCACTACACATTTAGACAGTTTTGTGAATATATGAACATATAGGCTACATTTATATAGTAATTCATACAGAATGTTCAGTTAGTTAGACAGTGCAACATATATCAGCACCAGCAAATTAGATTTATCCAAGTGAAGTTTTTTGATAAAACAAGTTTTAATTATGAGTTGACCACGTAACAAGGCTGCAAAAAGCAAACATGTCGTTTATAGCTTGTTTTGAGATGCATTTCAACTAGGACTACGTTTCCCACAATGCTATTGAGTTTTTTTTTTTTTTTTGCTCCTTGCGATTGGTTATTTTTTTAATGACGCTAAAACGGTGCGCATGTAACCTTGTGTTTGTGTTGCTTTATGGGAGTGTTAAATCAGCTGGAAACAACGTGAAAACATTTTAGATGTGTATTTTGATAGTATTATTCAGGAGCTATGAGTAAATATATTTTACCAGTTTCTGTTTTTGGAACAGTGATCGGATGCGCTGTTTTACTGAAGTGAGTAGCTCTTCATAATTTCACATAATGCCACTGTCATAAAGGAAGTGTAGATTTTATACTGTAGGCCTATGGGCCACATTTGCTGCCTATACAAATACGCTTTTAAGTTCAGGCTTGGAGCTTGGACGCTGAAGTTCTGTCTTTGCTGTTTGGTGCTTCACCTGACTAGAGAGCTAATCAGTGAGAGTTATTAAACACCTGTGTAAGGTCTTTAAGGCTCTTATATCGGCCATATAGTGCTTTAGTTCTGCATATTTCCAAATACATTAGGCTGCTTACAATTTCAAGGGCTTAAATAAAATTGCTGTGAAATTTTTTTAAAACTTTTTTTTATTAGGAACCATGTGACTGGAGGCCGGTGCCCAAGTAAAGCTACCATCAATGGAAAGACTGTGATTATAACAGGAGCCAATACAGGCATTGGGAAAGAGACTGCCCAAGAACTGGCCAAGAGAGGTGTGGAGAAAATATGACACTCTGATTTGGTGCAAAAAAAAAAAAAAAAGATATAAAATCTCAAGCAGTTACTTTCTCCTACCCCCATATTGTCAGGGGGCCGGATCATTATGGGATGTCGGGACATGGAGAAGTGTGAGGCAGCTGCAAAGGAAATACGAGGGCATACTTTGAATCCTCACGTCTATGCATGTCACCTTGATTTGGCCTCCATGAAATCGGTCAGAGAGTTTGCAGAGAGAATCAACCAAGGTGAGGAAACAATTGTGTGGTGATTACACTTCTCTAGAGTCCAGTTCTCAGTGATAGAAATAAAGGAGAATGGGTAACAATTTGAGTATTGTCTTTACTTGTAGAGGAGCAGCATGTGGATGTTCTGATAAACAATGCAGGGGTCATGAGATGTCCTGCATGGAAAACAGAAGATGGCTTCGATATGCAGTTTGGAGTCAATCACCTTGGTACTTGACTGACTGAAAAAACAGGCAAATTAATTAGTCTCCAAGAAAATAAATCTACGTTGTCTTTAGTCTAAAAAGTCTCCTGTACTCTGTCGCTACCTCCAGGCCACTTTTTGCTCACAAATCTTCTGCTGGATAAGTTGAAAGAGTCCACCCCCAGTAGAGTGATCAACCTTACCTCGCTCGCCCACATCATTGGAAAGATTGACTTTGAGGACTTGAACTGGGAGAAAAAGAAGTTTGATACCAAGCAGGCGTACTGTCAGAGCAAGCTTGCCAATGTTCTGTTCACCAGAGAGCTCGCCAAGCGATTACAAGGCAAGTCTACTGGCTGCTGCGTATGTGGGCATGTGTGGGAGGGAGTAGGGCCCATGTTCTTGTTTGTAATTGGCTATTGCATTGATATTTTTAAACAATGTTGGTATATGTATGTGTGTGTAACAGGCACAGGAGTCACAGTGAATGCTGTGCACCCGGGCGTTGTTGCTACGAGGCTCGGGAGGCACACCAGCCTGCACCAATCACAGTTCTCAAGTTCTGTGCTTGGTGAGTATCCTGCTTCCTTATTGGATTCTGAGTTTTATACAAACTGATAAATCCAGCGAGGTTCTGCTTACCTAATGTATATGCAACAGTTACTGTTGCTCAGGCTCCACTGACATTGGTGTCAGTGAACTTTCTATTATCATTTAGGAAAAATATTAGTTCAAATAAAGCCTCTGTCGACTCACCACTACACCAATGATGCCACTTTTGTTGCTGGAGCTTTGTTTTATTCAGTCTGGGAGTCCGATTTTTTCCTCCAGTTTTTAATGACATGCACTCTGGGATAGCAGAGAAGTGTTTGTGTTTAGATTGCAGGCAAAGATAAATCCACAGTTGTGTGCCAGATGTGGATATAAACAAACTCATGCACATTAATACAAGTTCACAGACACCAGCATGAACCCAGTTCGTACTTAGATTTGTGCTTAACACTGGCCATTTAATGTACCTGTATTTGACTGGAGTTTTACACATCAAATTTCTGTGTGGTCTCTACCAATCCCCCTACAGGTCCCTTTTTCTCGTTGTTGGTAAAGAGCCCAAAGCTGGGTGCCCAGCCCAGCATCTACCTGGCTGTGTCTGAGGACCTGGAGGGGGTGACAGGGCGGTACTATGATGTAATGACAGAAAAGGAACCAGCGCCCCAGGCCCTGGATGAGGAGGCAGCTCGCAGGCTGTGGGAGGTCAGCAGCCAGCTGGTGGGTCTGGAGGAGGAAGGACAATACCACAAGTCAAACCTGTCAGCAGAAAGCCAGAGCAAACCTGCATAGACACGCCAGTGGAGCCCAGGACCAGCTGTCAGTGCTGTGGGGCTGTAGTTCTGCTCTGGTCTCTGGGCCAGCAGCAAATAATGGATCCTCATGGCCTGAGCTGTGCTGGGCTCATAACTATTAACTGTACATGCCTTTGTTCCTGCATCAGGATATTTTTCTGTAGAACATATATAACAATCAGCCTTTGGCAGTTTTTTACATCAAGACAAAATTTTAAAAGAAGTATCACTTTGATTCTTTTAAAATAAAAAGTTGAATTGATAAACACTCCTTTGTTCACATCATTACAGTAGCCTTCCTCTGTCTGGTAGGATCAGTACATTATGATGGCTAGTGTTAGCTAACATTAGCCAACTTTAAATAGATTTGGAAATTGCTAATTCAACTTTTTTTGTTAACTTTGACTACTTGTGCTACTGTTGCACAATGTTTCTCAGGTTAAAGTTGCATTTTATTATTGTATTAATTCAAACACTTAGGAAAACATGATAAAGTATTATGTGGTGCTAGCAGGGTGCAGTTAGAACTGGAATGGTCTTAGAAAAACATCTAATCTGAAAATAAAATCATGACTCAAAAGTGCCACTGAGAATTAGTATTTTAACTTTTTAAATCTAAAAGTGAAAATCTCACCAACTGCTTTTTTACAATTATCACCTTTTTATACCTGCATGAATGTGTCACTCCTAAAACAATGTGTGCATCCAGTCTTAGATATTTGAAATATACATGCATTTACAGCAAGAGACATGCTTATGCAGTCTAACTTTATGTTCACAAATAGACTTTGATGTTGATGCAGATTTTCTTTTTTTTTTTTTTTTTTTTTGTGGTTTCAAAAAGAAAATGCTGACATACAGTGCCATCTGGCTGCCATAGTTGCCATAATGATTGTAGTTTGTGTGCACGTTTTTTTACAGATCATGCAGTTTTGTTTCAGACTGAATGTGCTTTGACGTAGTTGATTTAAACATATGAAAATCAGTTTGCAGAGGCTTGGACGTTACTTGACTTTGCAATCCATTCTTTTTTTTGTGAGTTATATTGTTGCATGATATTAAACCTTGATGACAAAAGCTGACAAATGGTTTGCCTTACATAACTGGAAGTATTCCATGCAATATGCAAATTAAATGAAAGTAAAAAAGGTGGAATCAAATTATAGAACTGTTTTGAAAAATTGTCTAAGACAGGGCCAGTCCTGGGTCTGTTGGTACCCTAGGCAAGAACAGTATACATAGGGCGAAGCATATTTCTTGTAAAGGCTGTTTTCTGAAACCAATATATTAGATGATAATCACTTATGGGCCAAGTAGGTTATACACACAAGGAGTTTCTCTGGTACAGAACTGAGGCAGTCATCTGTGGTGCCAACTCACATACTAATGGCAGTGCTGTCCCAGCCATTGGGAGCAACTTGGGGTTCAGCTGTTCTACTTCCTGAGCCACAGTTAAGTCACTGCATCATAGTAGAAGGGCATCAGTACCAGGGCCATTAGAGATTTTGGGCCCAAAACACTACCCACCCCACCCCGATCTCCACTCTATTATATGACACACTATTTACTGCTTTAATGTAGTAAGGTGACTAGGCATTTTACTAAAAACTTAAAGAAATTCCACATTTAATTTACATCTTTATTAAAGTTGTTGTCATGGTGTGAGCTGAGACTGGTTCCTGTGGTGGCAATTTGAGCTTTAAAAGATAATTTTTCCACAACATTCCTCATACCTCATGCTACAATTACACACCCACAGTTGTGTGTTTGCTTGACTTCCAGAACCTCTGCTGCTATCTGGGCTCTCCAGATAGAAGGACCCAAACAGCCTGAACACAAAAAGGCTTTTTTTGGACCACTTTGACCAGAAAATAAACAGACAGAGGTTCCTTTCTGCGCCCTTGCATGGATGTGCTCATGATATTATTATTAATAAACAAGAAGAATCAAAACAAAAACCCTCTTGTGTTGCATGCAAAAAATACAAAAACACTGGCAAAGCCCTTTGGGGTAAACCCACTCTAGAAAAACCATCTGCATTTTAAAAAGCCTAAGCATGATCATTTACTGTTAATGCACGTTTATGTGCACCTCTGTTTTTGCTTTTGTTTACTCATCCCTAAAACAAATCAAGTTACAAAAGCACTCAAGTTGCATTTCTGACCCTCACAGACATGCATCTGCAGACATGTAGACTAAGTGCAAAGAAAATATCCATTCCTAAATCATTTTGGTGATCTATTGCATAGGGCTTTTTCCAACAGTACAACCCAAAGTACAGATCAATATCCATTCTCTGCACTAATGGGCTGTGCATAGCCCTAAACCTGAAACAATATACTCCGAATAATTTATTTCAGTGTCAGTTTACCACTAGAGACTCTTGATGGCGCCATCCTAGAAGATGATGGGTATTGGAGATGAGCTAGACAATCACTTGACTGAAAAGGCCTTGCACTGTCCCTAGAGTTTGTTGCACTCTAATTTGGTTTTTCCTTCTGACACGAATCACCCATGGTCTCAGAATGATTTTAACAATCTTACATTTGGATATTATTCATATTGTTACATATTCTACCTTAAACAAACAACAAAATGTTTATACGGCGAACTATTTGCGTTCTTAAACGCGCATCGGACGGACTTCATTACCCATAATGCATCACTAACGGACGGCGAAAAAGTCTAAGGTGCAAATACTTCCTACTCAGATTTGTTTGTGTGCAGGTCGTGTCTTATAAGAGAAGAGTTGGACGCTTCTTCCTTTCTCTAAAACTAGGTGTTTTTCTTTAGCAGGTAATACTTTTAAGCTTAAAGGCGCATAAGCTCCGCAGGTCAGCGTTCAGCTGACCATAAACTGTATGTTTATCACAGTTAAGACTTTTGACTACCTGTGTGCTGCATAAAACAGTGGAGTAACTTAGAATATGCTTACCGACATGTCTTGGGTCGAAAAGTGTTCCCCCGACGAGATGTGTTGTCTCTGTTAAAAACTTCACGTAGCGTTCTCCTTAGTGGTCGTGGTTAGAGTTCAGGTTAGGAACACATCTTCAGGGGGAAACATAATTCGACACAACACCGGTACAGAATAAAATACAGAAACGTCGCACAGTATGGTAGAGCTCTTTGTTGAGTCAGTCAGTTTTAGGACGTTATTTGCAGTGTGGTTTGACTAATACCAGAATAAATCAAAAATGTCTTTTAGTTATTTTTATTGAGGGTCTACTTCAATAGAACAAAATCAAAGTGGACCCTCACAGTTTATGTTTGATATGATTTTTTTGTGGTTCCTCACCTTGACCAATGTTTAAAGGTGCTTAAGCGCGTGCAGGCCTACCATCATGACTTATTGAATGTTGCCTTTGGACAGGAGGAGACGGGCACTCAGAGGTGTGGCTCAGGAGGTAGAGCGGGTCGTTTCCTAACCGGAGGATTAGCGGTTCGATTCCCGGCTTGTCCAGTCAACATGTCGAGGTGTCCTTGAGCAAGACACTGAACCCCCAGTTGTTCCCGGTGATGTCACCGGTGTGTGAATGCGTGAGTGCTTGGGAGTGCGAATGGGTGAATGACCGAATAATGTGTGAAAACGCTTTGAGTGTGCTGTAAAAGCATAGAAAGGCGCTATACAAGTATAAGACCATTTACCAGACCATTACTGTATATAGACTATGATACTGTAATTGCATCTATTTAATGCATATTATTTATCAGCCTGGCAGTGCTGCAGAGCAGGGGAGAGCTGCCACCTGCAGATGTTGATACAGATGACTGCCTGACTTCATACACACACATCTACAGTCCAGATTTACTGAAGTAAGCGTAAAGATGTGCTTTAAGACGTGTTTCCCATCACCACATATAATCTTATTGCTTTTCTGCATTTCACACAGTTGTCTGTGATCATGATGACTTTTTCTTAAATTGGTTGTCATTGTACATGAAGTGACTTTTGAGGATTTGCGCTTTTATTTTTCAGGGATCAGGTTGCTTTTATCACAGGTGGGGGATCTGGAATTGGACTCAGGATAGCTGAAATTTTCATGAGGTGAGAGGGATTGCCCACTTGATTCCCAGAAACATTCCCACATCTTGCAGAAATATAAATATTTGGTCAAATTCCACTCATTTTAGATTTACAGATACTATTGGTGCATGCAAAATTGAGTACATGTAGGGCCAATGCTCTTGTCAGCATTATGTCATTACTGTTAGTTTAACTGAGAAAGACAGTATGCAGGTGCACTTTAAACTGTTAGAAATTAACCCAATTCTTTTGTTGGAAGCACGAGAAGTGAGGACAGGAGAGGACTGTTTAAAATCAACAGAAAGTTGATTTTGAAGGTAGGCCTTACAGCGCTGGGATCAGAGAGATAGAGCTCCCGCAGGAGTTCCATCCTCTGAACCCCGAATTAAGGTCTTACAATACATTTTGTCTTCTTGGGCTGCTTCGTCCTGGACAGAGGTACAACATTCAACTGTTCATTCAGCTGTTGATCCTATTGTCCATTTGGTGTGAACCGGAGCTCTCCCTTGTTAGAATGTGGTAAAGTCTAGGTGTGCATGTGTGTGTGTGTGTCTCTCAGGTTGTACCCCCCTGTGTGTGTAAGACACCCCCTGGTGAGGCAGAACTTGGGATATGCTATGTGGGTCTAGGTGTGGGTGTGAAACGGGCTAGCAGGGCTCTGTTAAAATGTAAATAGGCTGTCTGGTCATAAAGAGATGCAGACATCTAGTCTCTACACAGAACTTACAGCATTCAAAGTAAGCAGATTCCGCTTCATTACAGCTGTAAGATATGTAAGCAAGGGAAATAAATGTATTAAAATAACCAAAGCTCAGTAGTTCTGGACAATCATCAATACAGCTGTAATATGTATAGACAAGGAAAATAAAGTTATGAAAGGTAACTAATGGGAACTACAGGTATGAGAAGTAACTAAAGCTTATAAAGTACCTAGAGTCTATAAGACTCAAATCTTACAAAACCTTCTAGTTGTGTTATCTGACAGACTTTCATTGTTTTATGAAAGTCACCATCTGTTTTATGATGTTTTGTTACCATCCAAAGTTGTAGATCTGAGGCTCACCCCAAGATTAAGCTTATGTTCTTGGTTCTCATGTTTACCTCATTGCTCATCATGTGTGCCTTAGGCCCTTTACCACGTCTTTTATCACACATTTGACCTTGCATTATTTGCCTCCTGTCCCACCTGTTTAACAGAATACCGCATTTCATCCCTTTCTTTCTTTTTTTTAGGCATGGCTGTGACACAGTGATTGCCAGCAGAAATCTGGACAAGCTCAAAGAGGTTTTTTGACTTGTATACAGTATCTTCAACAATCCCAAAAGATAAGAGCTTAAACCATGAAGTGTTGGCCTCATGTAAAATGACTGTGTGTTTCCTTAGGCTGCTAAAAAGCTGTCTGCTGTGTCAGAGCACCGCTGTCTCCCTTTGTGTATAGATGTGAGGCAGCCTGAGAGCATCGCAGCGGCTGTGGATGAGACATTGAAAGAGTTTGGCCGTGTAGACATCCTTATTAACAGTATGACAAACAAGCTTAAGAGATATATTTTTGTTCTAATGAATAATGAGTCTGTGGTGGGAGCTCTGCTGCACACAGTCCCTCACTAACTCACCCTGTCATTGTAGGATGCATCCTGCCAACATAAGTTGCAGATTTATTTTAAGGTGTCTTTAGGGCAAATAAGTACAAATGTACAAAGGCCAAGTGTGAAACATTTAGGTTTAAACATCAACTTTCTGCTGCTGCATCTATCTTTATATCTTCCATCTTTGCACTCTAGTCCCCACTGTGAGCTGTTATGTCACTACAGGATTATTAGTTATCAAATCACATGCAGATCACCTATGAAAGGTGAGCTCTATTTCAATAATGTAGCACACAGTGAAAGCTTTAATGAAACATTTATAAAGCATTAATGATTAAAATTCTTTGCCTGTCTTGCATAAGATTTGTCTGCAGTGGGCAGCAATTCTGGTCTTATTTAGAATCACTGTGCTATTTTTGACAGATGCTGCTGGAAATTTCCTCTGCCCAGCTACCTCACTCTCTTTCAATGCCTTCAAGACAGTTATGGAGATAGACACTGTGGGTACATTCAACACCAGCAAAGTGGTTTATGAGAAGTGGTTCAAGGTACAGAGCATTTTTGTCTGTCTGTGTGGCAATATTTACTAATTTTAAGTCAAGCAAATTTTAAAGCTGTATTTGCAGGAACATAATTATGTTACTGATTAATTATTTGGATTATTATTCACTCTGTACATTTTTTCCTGGTCACCAGAAGAGTGAAGTAACAGATTACAGAATGCCTTCTCATCTCTTTATGGGATTTAAACTGCTGCTCATGTGAAATAAAGATGATTTTATTATTTAGATATTACATCTTTTCTGTATGCAGGATCATGGTGGAAACATAGTGAACATCTCTGCAACACTTGGATACAAGGGACAGGCGCTTCAGGTGCATGCTGGATCTGCTAAAGCTGCAAATGGTAAGAGTTTTAAATAATGAGATCAAAATGAGAATCTGTGTCCTATAATGTACTCTATGCTGCCTCTCCTGTTCCCAGATGCCATGACCAGGCACCTGGCTGTGGAATGGGGCCCTAGTGGGGTGAGAGTCAATGCTGTGGCTCCAGGTCCTATCTCTGGCACAGAGGGCTTCTCCAGACTAGGTGGTGATGTAACACCATACTGACAAAGTGACTGTACATGTACTCCTTTATTATGCACAGTGAGTTGATTTCTTAAGCAACACCCCAGAACAGATGAGAGGTTGTTTAGAAACGGACCTTTTAGGGCTGTTATGACTAATACCAAATTTACATGTTCATTACATGGCTTAATATTATATTATTATGTATAGTTTGTATATTCAAATAATTAGGAAAACAACTAACAAAATCTAAACACTGACAATTCCCATTCAAAAATAATACTATCCACGTCTTAATAGTTTTTGATAACATCCAGTTTATAATCCATTCATAAGAGCTCTGGATTGGGTGCTAGTAAAGAGTTGGTTAAGCTCATCTGATTTGGATGCAGGGGTACATCAGACAAAAAAGGTTGGGAATGACTGATGTACAGTGTAAGTAATAGTATTAGAGTGTGGATTTTTCCTTTTAATCCCTCAGGTGGTCTGAGAGCCGACGCTGCTGGTGCCTTCCAGTCCATTCCATTGCAGCGAGCAGGCAACAAGACAGAGATGGCCCACTGCACTCTTTTCTTGGCCAGCCCAGCATCCTCTTATGTGACTGGAGCCATCCTGGTGGCGGACGGTGGGGCGTGGCTGACCTCAGCCAATGATTTCTCCATGCTGTTGGGTATAGCCTCCTCTAAATCTGCTAAACTCTGAACAGGGGCTCTCCTTTCTTCCTCCATACCCAGGTGTGTAGGAGGAGGTCTAGCTTGACAGAGCTAACTATGACGATGAGGATGAAGTGATCGTGTAGTGCATTGTGTCATACACACACATATATATATATATATATATATATAGTAGTATAATCCATGTTAATCCACTTGTTTCTCTTATTTTCTTTCAGGTTATTGGTCATCTGAAAAGAAACGAGACAAGTAAATGCTGAAAGCAAGAGTAATTTCCAGTGTTTACAGTGTATGCTACAATGTTTGTGGTTTAACACACCCACTGTAGAGTGTATTGCTGAGTGGCAAGAGGAATTTAACACTAATATATGTGATGAATTTAAAAACACTTTCTGCTCAGTCTCATTTGAGTTGAATACATGTATTGATTCTGGGCCCATGAAACAAATAACTTGCATACGTATAGAGTCGTAGTGATACTTTTCAACACCAGCCAGTTTGACCAATGCCGTAGTAAGGACAGTGTCACTTATCTCTGAATAAGAAATTCCAGCACCCACAGTTTTCTATAAACCTCTGTTCAGACATTGAGACACTATGACTGGACAGACATCAAATGTTACAATGACCCTTGTGTCTTATTACAAAAGATGATTTAACAATGATTCAGGAATTAGCCTATTCATACACATTTTAGTAGATGTTACTATATTTCCCGTATTATGTTTATAAAAAAATTTCACTCATGACAGTGCTGTGTAGCCTATTATCACTGTGCATTTCATATACAGTCTTGTTTATTACATGCCATTTTACTGTATGTGATTTTTCAGTACCTCTCATTTATTAAAACATGTTTAACAATTAGTCAGTGGATACCATTTGCCCTATTGCAAGTTATTTGTTTTGTCAATGCACAAACAATAGTCTTCTTGTGCTATTTATAAGTAAAAGGATCCAGCTTTCTTAATTAAAGCTTAGATTGTACCAGTCAAGTCAGGTTTTAGCTCAATGTCACAAATCCCAAATGTAACACATTTGCAGTGTACCTGCAGGATGGAGGCTGTTTTTAATGCAAGTTGGATGGATTTAAAAGGTGAGATCCAGCTGGGGGTCGGGACTTCACATGTCACATGGTGATTGAAGGAAAGAATAACTAAATAATACAACATATTTAATAAGTTTTCCCTTTTTCTTAATAAAATACTGGATATGTTCATCAGATCTCAAAGTCCTACAAATCAAACATGAGGGAAAATTACTTGACTTTCGCTTGCATCTCATTTCCACACAAAGGCTGTAACCTGTGAGGAGGTGTCGTAAATATATAATAGATAAAAAAATGGCTTAGAGTCAGTTGATCAAACAACCAAGAGGAATAGGGAGGCTACCGTATACAATCACAAAATAAAAGATCAATACTGCAACAAGTCAGATGAGGGCGCCAAAACATTACAATTGCATCTATTACACAATTTCTAATTTTTCAAAATGATTACTCTCTTGTGTCCACATTAGTTGACCAACACTATAATGTTATATTATTTTATAGGTTACATCACGAGTGGTTAAAGAAACCTGGTGGTTTTTCAGAGACGAACACCCACCCTGTTGAGGGGTCACTGAAGAAGAGCCCCCAACCCGCAACTGTTGGGAGCTCCTCCAACTGACCCTGAACTTTACCCTTTACTTCAGATTGTCATTCTCCGAAGTATGAGTGGAAGTAAAAGGTGTTAGGCTAGATTAGCCACAGGTTTTGTGCACAAACACAAACCATAAGGTCCAAATAATAGCTTCCATTAAGCCGATGATACTGCGGGGTATTTTGTACGCTTGCGTGAAACGTCAGCGGTGTGTATGTATGCGGCTGGAGGAGGAGGTGGAGGAGGATGGGACATGGCTGATGCTGATGCGAGAGCTTTCGGGGTCTGTGTTGAAACATCGGTGAACTGACTGTCAAATGATGGAGCTTTTTGGCCTTATTTAATGGACATTTTATCCCATTATGGTTTTCGACCAGGGGCGCTGAGACTGATGTGTTTTTGAGAGGGGAATAATACAGGATTCTGGGACGGAAGGGACTGTTTCGACTCGTCACTCGTCTGGCCTGCCTTGTGACTGACACAGGTGGAAAAACGGCATCGAAATAAAGACATAATCGTGGATAATACTTTTCATAATTACATACGGAAACGTGGAATACTCAAGCTAGCACTTGGTTCCAAGTTACCGAGAGTGGAAGAAGGTGGACTGTCTGGTGTGTTAGCTAGTTAATAGGCTAATTTCGCTAGCTAGTCAGTTAGCTAGTCTTGACCAATGGCACGAAAGAAGTGGGATGCTCGAAGGAGGAGTTAACATTAGTCGCTAGCATAAATTCGTTTTGACGGAAGCTACAAATGTTTGGTTGTCACCTTTGTAAATAGGGGTGGCATTAACGGTACAGCTGGGTGTTATTCAGGTTTGAGCTACGCTTTTCACAACGTTTCCTAGTTGCATTGTTTGCCTTTCAGCTAATTAGCTTGCGATGGATAATATTACTCAGCTAACAAAGCTAATGTTGACAAACACTGGTGGCTTAACGTGTTAATTCGTATTGCTTGAAACTGGCCGTTTGACAGACATGCTGTCCGTTCTTTTTGCTAATTCAACTCTGAGACTATTTCGATGATTTTCCAACCTTCAGGCCGAAGTGAAACATGACGTTGGATGCTCTGACGCCGAGACATTTGACAACTACCGGGAGCGGATCTGCCATGACAGAAATGGACATAGTGAGTCAAAGCACGTTCACGTTAGTACGGTTTTTAGTAAGGCTGAGAAATTAATATGAATTTAGGTAACATTGTAAACATTTGGAAGGCGGACACTGAAGTTAAAAGTAGGATACAATTCGTTAACCCGTTGACTGGGAGGCTAGGGACAACTTCAGTCAGTCTTCTTCAAATTACTGTTATTTATGCAATCACATTATCTGCCAGCATTTCTTACATTTCTTAAGTGGCAGTCAAAGCGTGTAGGAATCCCACTCATTTATTTCAACATTTTATTAAAAAGGTTTAGTGACATCTAAAAACATGGTATTAAAACTGAAGAACTGGATCTCTGCCACAGCAGTGAGATAAGGACGTCACCAGCTTTCACGAGTTTTCAGAGAGGAACAGCCAATATAAATGGAATCGACCATTCTGTCTGGCCCTTTGGGGCACAAACAGTGGGAGACAGAGCAGCCATTTCCTTTTGGATTTCATACACTGGCTTCAGACAGTGGAGATGTGCTCTGTCACAACAAGAGTGGCCAGACGGGTTTGGATTGTAGAACTGGCGACCAGCAATGTGAAGAAGAAAATGTTTTCCAGGACAAGTCGATAGAGTTGGACAACCTTGTAAACATCTCAGATTTTTCTTGTGGAGATTTAAAGTTTGACAGAGATCAATCCCACACGTCTCTCCATAGTGCTCGTAGAGATGAACTGTCTTATACAGAAAACACAGAGGGACCTGAAGAGGTTACTGACTGCACTTTGTCATGGCTGGTTTCTCCCAACCTCACGGATGTGGTTGGGAAAAACTCTGCCTGTGAGGACCTGAGTCTGACACAGGAGGCCCCTTTTGAGCCCAAAAATGCTTTCACTACTGAGGCTGACCTAATAAGCCTCAGTGGACCAGTCTCTCCATTGAATATTTTTGAGAGGAATTCTGAAACCAGTACAGGGGATCCATTTTTGATGGTTGATTTCCTCTCAAATGAACCCTGCTGTCTCCACCCAGATTCCTCAGGTGAGTTGAGCCCACAGGGAGTCAGTGAGGAGCTGGTAGACCTGTCACAAGAGGAGCAGGCAGGTCTCCCTCCCTCACAGGGCAGTGACACTTTGTCACCTGAGACCAGAGGCAAAGGTTTGTTCTCTGATCAAGTGACTGATTTGACTGTGAACTGTAGCGCTGTCCTGCAAGGTTTACCTGAGAAGTGCCTCTCGGAAAACCACGTCAGCAGGCCACTGGAGCGTTTCGAAGGATCTGTGCCTTTGTTGGATTTAGAGGTTCCAGATTGTGACAGCAGTCTGAGCCTGTTCCCTGCCAATTCCAGCTCTGTTTTCTGCAGAGGTGCACCTTTAGATCAATCAACAGAGGAGTCGGTGGTGGAACATAGAGAGGCTAATGTAATTAGGAATCTAGCTTCAGAGCAGCAAGGTGAGAGTAACTCATTCACTCTGGGTTTGTCAGCTGAACTTTTATCGCGGACAGTGCTTCTGGCTGAAGATGCCTTCATCCAGAGGGATTTCACAAGCGAGAGTGGCTCTGAGGAGAAAGTGTCTAAGGATTTGATGGAAGATAAAATTTCTGAGGCCAGAAATCAGGGGAATGAGTCAATGGCTTTGGATTTGTGCTTGACTGGTAATGAGGTTCATGATGAGGAAACTTGGGTCTCGAAACAGGGGGATGTACAGAACAGAAGTATTCCCAATCCAATGACTGAACAAAGGGAAGAGGAGGAGAGGCTGACGGAGACAAACCAGCTCAAGGGATCAGATCATCATAGAGAGGACTCTTTTGGTTTTGCACTTCAGGATTTAAATACTTCTCATGATGCTGTATGGACTAGTGAACAGACTGTGGAGACAATTTCTCTTTCTAAGATGGTGGTAGATGACTCACTGCCGATGGTTTCAGCTGTGAAGACGAGGGAGGAAGATGTCTCCCCACTGAAAGCTGTTTTTGACGCTTTAGACCAAGATGGAGATGGATTTGTACGTATTGAGGAGTTCATGGAGTTTGCTGCTGCGTATGGTGCTGATCAGGTGAGATGTCTTATTTCTCATCTTTTTTTTTTTTAATAGCAGGCAGCACTGAGTAATGGCATGCTGAATGAAGTTGTCAAGCCTAATAAAGCTTCATATATGGACATGATATGATTTTCTGAAAAACCTCAGAGCATACTGCAAAGAGCCTGCTTTATTCAATTAACTGAAATCCATCTGGCTGATGTCGCTTTGCTATCAGTTTACAAGTTTGCTCATTGTTGTTCGCAGTATAGTGAGGAAGGCACAAGTTTAGTCACTGTGATTGTGTGAATGTTACAAATGTTTATTTTATGTAAAGATTAATATGTTCCATTGGTGCAACTGTTTCTAAAACTGGGCCCTGATTATGACTTTTAGATGTTTTAATGAACTACATCAGCTTTGTGTTGCTCTGATGTATAATGAATCAGAGGCAACATGATGCCTGCTTGAGTGCTAGCGTGTTTCATACAGAGCGGGGCTCACCATTTAGTGTAATGGATTTAGCTAATACTCCACCACGGAATGGTGTTAGCCATGTCTGGATTAGTTTGTCATCTACACTTGGTGTGTTCAAGAGCTAGGATTTGGGTTACCATTCAGATAAGCCTGTCAAAACATATTGACTGAAATTGTCAAGATTGGCACTTCTTTTGTATGTACTATAAAGTCACAAACACTCAGCCCATGTGTATATTGTGTGGTTTGGGGATAATCTTAATCTTAATGGCTTGTGTCTCACTCCATCCATTCATTTGCTGTTATCTCGCTCATTGACTTTAGCCTTTTGTCATAACATTTGTAGTTGTAATTATATGGCTGTTGGTCTTGTCTTCAACAAAAGTTGATTTTAAAAGCGTAAACATTTGACACGTGTCAAGGACACTCCAGCATTAAAAAAAAAAAAAAAAAAATCTAGTTTTTGTTCCTGTCACGTGCTCGTCTGGATGCCTGTCCAAATGTTTGCAAGATTCTGACTGAACTTAGGCAAGTGATCACACAATTTGCAAATAACCGTGAAATGATGGATACAAATGATGTAACCAAAATAAGTTTCCGTTTGTTTTTACAAAGGCATAATTCATTTTAAAATATGTCCCTTAATGACTAGTTTTTGAAAAATTGGTATGAGGTGGATTGAGGCAACATAAACAATATATTTAAGCAGCTTTTGATTAACTTGGAACAGTATTTTTGTGTGAGCATGGTACTCTAGGCAAACACAGTGCTGGCTCAGTAACCCTTTTAAATCCCTTCTCTTACAGTCCAAAGTGCCTCTTCTGTCCCCTGTCTTGCTGTAGGTATCTGTGGCTCCCCAGACAGAATTGTGAGGCATTAAGAGTAAAATGTATTTTCCTGAGTCAGAAGGACTTTATGGTTTGGCTGTTGCCCACCAACTCCCCATGACCTTGCTTAGAGGGACAGAGCAGGGCTCTTGTAATGTTAATCTAATGTAAATAACTTCCACCTGTTTGACTTAGCAGTGCTGAAGGTGATATATTTACATGATACTGGGTGTTGATTTTTATTTCAAAGGTGTGGTCTGTTTTACTGTTACTCCACACCATTTGGTTACTGAATGACTTCTCCCAAGTATCAAGATTCCAGCACTTTTCCAAGGTTTTCTTTGGACTGCATACCAGATTGTGCAGTTAGATTACTTGTGCATGTTCTTCTGTGTTTAAGCTATTGATATCTGATTTCTGGGTCGCGGGTCGGCCCCTGTGACCCGGTCCCGGATAAGTGGAGGAAAATGGATGGATATCTGATTTCTAAGAGCCACAGGCACCACTTTGTGTCCTTGCAGGAAAATCCTCTGATTTCTTTTCTTATCTGATCAGAGACAGGTGTGTGTGTGTGTGTGTGTGTGTGTGTGTGTGTGTGTGTGTGTGTGTGTGTGTGTGTTTTTCATTTACAGTAAGTAAGCAGACCAGACTTATCTTCAGAATTTGTGGAATGCTATATAATGCATGCAACCTTTTAGTGGATGTGGCATTCATTAGCTGAACTCAAGGATCAGTGGGGAAGACAGGTCTGATCTAACAAGGCCTACACACACACACACACACACACACACACACACACACACACACATTGATTCTTGGCTGAGGATGCAAATGGTTCATTATATCAGTTTGGAATACACATAAATGGACTTTTCATATTTGAATAAGCTTTCCCCTGATATATCCTTATTTCAGCCATGTGGAGATGGAAGTGGTTTGAACAACCTTATACCTGAGCGGCTCAGATTAGTGAAGTAGTGAACCCCACAGAGCAATAAGCTATACTGATAAAAAAAAAAACATTTATTAAAGGCTAAAATGGCAGTAGTGATAAAAGCCAAGTGGAGATGGGGTTAAGAGCTAAGCTTAGGATGCCATCAGGGAATTATTTGAGTGCAATAAACTATTTGGTTTAGTTGTCTACAGATCTCACAGAGTAGTCTGTTGTCCTTGCGGTGTATTTTCTCTGCCAAGCTTTTGAATGACGGGCACTTTTTCCTTAAGATTTTGTGTTTGTATGCATATTGTTGTAGTTTAGTTGAGGGCTAGGAGCAGGCCTTGCATGTGTTTTATCCTGTAGCTCTTTGTAAATATCCCTTCAACCTGTCAGACAGCAGGAACAGTATGAGCTATCTGCATGCACGTTCAGCTGGGGCTTGTACGCTAATCATGCAAATATTTTCTCTAGAATTATTCCAGGATATGGCGGTGACTATGTACATAAACACACATGCTGCAAACATGAGCATGGAAATTTTAAATACATCAACTTAAAAAAATATTCAAAAGACTAAACATGGTTGGTAGGAGAAACAAGATGTAAATTCTTGATGCTCCCCTAAAAAGTTCCACCACATGCTTTTTGTTTGATACACAAGCACTGCCTCTACCACTTTTCTAGGTGTGAGGCATGTTTCTGAGATTGGACAGAGTAGAAGATTGCTTTGTGGACTTAAGTTGCTGCTAGAAAAACATTTCATTTAATGCAGTTTTGTGACATTTTTTACTTGTTAAGATCACTCTGGGCAGTTAATGCTGACCTGCTATTATTTGTGCAAGGGTTATTTCATAAGACATTGTGATGGGAGTGAAACCTCCTGCAGGCATGCACCAGATATGGAAATTCAGTTACTGAAAAGATCTTTGAAACCACTGCTCACTGTTTTCGTGCTATTGTTTGCACAAAGGCCATACTGAAATGGACTGTGGTCAAGTTTCTCGTTAGTCTACATTCCAACCTTATTTTAGCCAGTCGCCCTCCCCTCACCCACTTCTTTTATGTACTACAACTATAATCCACAGAGGAATGTCCCAAGCCCTGATGCATCCCAGGTCTAGAGTACACTTTAGTAGGAATGTGTGAAGTGTTTACCCCCCTTCCCCCAAAACAAAAAACAAAACAAAAAAAAACATCTGCCAACCCACTGGACTTGCAGCATGGTCATGGTTATCAGAGGTTTGTTTAGGAACTGTTGTGAAACCCCCTCCGGGAAAGGCTCTCACCCAACGGGTGTTCTTCTCCATGAGGTTATGCACAACAGTGGTCTGTGTGGAGGCGGTCAGGCGTGGCCTGGCACTGATTAGACACAAATGGAGAAAACCAAAAAAACCACAGTGCCTTCACTGCTCCACAAGCAGTGCAAGTGACTGAGTTGCCTCTGAGTTTAATTTTTAGCTGAGCATTACCAGTGTCTCTTAGGGCTGTGCTTTGTTAGCTGTAACCATGCATATTATTACATAATACAGCGTTAATGGTAATTACTGACATAAATTAATGGTCTGGCAAGAAAAGCAAACTGTCCAAGAATAAATGACAGAAACAAATGCAAATAAACTTAAAATGGTTCAGTAATTTTAAAAACTAGTTTAGCCTGCCTAAACTCCAAGCAGTTAAACTTGATGGTGATGGCATATTGCATTACCCTTACAAAATGGCAATAGATGCAGTTAACAGGTCAAGAAGTGACAAAACCAAGTGTTTAACAGTAAAGACATTATACAGATCTAGTTTATCAGTTAAACAGCTGTGGAGAAGCTTTTCCAGGGTCCTAGGGCCAAAATTAATCATGGTCACCTTTAGTTTTTAGGTTTGACTAAGGAGTAGCCAACAGGCTCTGCTCACAAAACCTGAGGAGCCTGGCGCTGCTGTGTACAGCCTTGACAACTCAGATGGCCATCAATGTGCACTGTAGTCTACAAGCTTTAAACTGCCTTCATTGCTTCTGGCTGTCAAGATTTATCTGTTCTGTGTAGTCATATATTATTACTATGCTGTAATATTGCCCCAGTCTCCTACTGTAGAAGCAATAAATCATTTTTTACTGTAACAGTTGTGTAAAAATGTCATCACAGGCACACAAATTCCCCAGTCACATCTCAGCTTTGCCACCACACCCAGCTGAGGTGTTTATGAATAGCTGCATGGAACAAAGCCGTTTTTCCTGTGAACTGTGATGCTCCATTGTGAAACGGAAAACTCAAAAGCTGTATATACACCCCTCACTGTCAAATGTTTCCCCCCCCTAAGTTCAGTTCTAGAAAGACCCTGCTTTTTCCACCAGCACTTCTTCAGCCTGCAGTTTATTGCAAATCTACTGCAGTGGAAAAGTTGTACCAGACAGAAATGAGTTGCCACAGTATTTCAGCTCAGTCTCTCCCCTCCGCTCACTAAATACAGCTGGGTTTGATTCATCAAACCAAGGGGCTTGTTGCAGTCAGTTTATTAGGATTTTCAGCCTCCTGAATTGGAGCTCAGCGTTCCTAATCAGATCAACTTGTTTTTAAGTGTAACTGATATGCAGTGACGCTTCATACAGAATGAACGTCTTGGTAAAATGACCATGTTCGCATTGTATGCTTGCAATCTCAAGGAATAAATGAGCTAAAACCTCCCCCGACATACTTTCTGCCTCCCAGCTTTTTTTTTTTTTTCTGCCATACATGCCTGAAATTGTGCTGTAATTTTGTGATGTGACAACATTTGACTTGTTTGTGTAAATTGTTCTTGGTCTTTACTGCCTATAATTCTGCAGATGCATGCACATTTTTGTTTTGCAGGTTAGGTATTTGAAAACCAGATATTTAAACATTAACATTAACCACCACAATATGTCAAGACCATATGTAGAGGTAATTTCACATAAACTAGAAGTCAGTTTGCAGTCTAAAATGTTAATTTTTTTTTTTTGCTCTGAGGTCTTGTGCTTGGTGAAGCACATATTCTCTTGTTGCCAGGTTACTGACTGTACAAATGTACAGTATGTAGGTGCACTTGTGTAACCCATGAAACATTTGAGTACAGCAGTGTTGTTGTGCATGAAATGTTATGTTGCGTCACATTATGAACTTGCATGCTTTTTAATATGGATTTGTCTCAGTTGGGTAACAGTCTTTCTGTAACATTTCTTTGTTGTTGTGTATATAAAAGGTATAAAGACAGTCCACTTTTAAAACTGTAAACTGTTTCCAGTCGAGTCAAACACTTGACATCTACAAAAGTGTATTTGTGACATTTTACTCCTGTAATCAAATTATCCTTGTAGTTCAGGTAATTTTCAATTAAACTGTCATAGGAGTGAAATGAGTAGTTTTATTTAATAAAGTCCTGGCTTGCTCTTTTACATGTTGTGTGCCTTTCCATTGCAGTCACTGCAAACAGTGCAATTAAGTAATTTTGCCCTGTTGTGTGGGGAAAGTTCCTTTTTACATTTGTTGTATCTTGACAGCCAAAGTGACAGGGTTGTGGTAGAGGGATATGTTTTCCATAATGAGTTAGATTTGAATGCTGTTACTTGTGCCTTTCAGGTGAAGGATCTGACAAAGTTTTTGGATCCCAGTGGCCTGGGCGTGATCAGCTTTGAAGACTTCCACTGTGGAATCTCTGCTATCAGCAGTGGAGGTGAGCAACAAGGCATCTATTTAATTCTTGTCCACAGTTTAAGTTTTAGATTTTTCTATACTATCTCATGTATACCACCAGTCAAGTTTGGACACACTTTCCCATTGAATTGAATGGGAAAAGTGTGCAAAACCACTACCCAACCCCCCATTTCGTGGTGTGTTTTTATTATTATTATTATAAATTGGCTAACCTGTCGTTTAGCCTAATTCCACTATGAGTGCCTCAGCAGCAGATTCTTGGTCTCCTGCTTCTGGCTCAATCTCTCTGCATTCCCCATGGTGCCAAATATCGTTGTCAACACAGTATGTTCACAGCTATCCTTCAGCTGAGTTGAGGGATTTTAAAAAGAAAGGTGGAAGACTGACCCAAATTCTTTGTAACTGGACTCAATATGCTGCTGTTCTTTCTTTAACCATTTTGTTGCCCATTTGTTTCACTTTATAAGCTATTAAAAAGGCTGCAAGTTGTAAGAACTCATTGTTTCCCTTTTGGCAGTTTACAGAACACAGTGGCTGAGTTGACATGCTGTACAGATAGCAGTAACAGTACTGCAATAGCACACAGTTTGCCCCGTGTGTAAGCCTGTTCCCAAGGCTTTCACAGTTGCACAGCTTCAGTTACTCATTAATAAGTCATGCATTGGGAAGCATGAGATGCACAGACACATGGGCTGAACCTGAATAATTTACTGCTCTCTCCCTCTCTCTCTGCCCTGTCCTCTCTGTGGTCACTAGTTCCAATGCTAATATTGTGCAAGGTTTTCCCTGCCTTTAGAAAGGATTAGGTGCAGCACCTTAAGCCGAATGAATATGAAAAGGCCTTTAGGTGACATATCAGAATGAATGTATACTAAAAACAGAATTCAGTGCAGTAACAAAAACGACTTTTGACTAACTGTCTTTCACAAATATTGTAAGATAAATGGTTGGGGGGGGGGACTAAACTAATTTCAAAACCTAGGGCTAGACTGTTGATGTTTAAAACCACCAGGTTTGTCATCTTCTGTACCATAATTCCTCCACCTCTGCTGTAATCGTCTCTTCTCTGTACTCTACATTCATACTGTTTATTTCATTTATGTACCATTTCCAGGACAAAGTAGTCTTAATATAAATACGCCTGCAGGTTTTGGAAATGCCTTGTCCCCTGTAGTGGTCTGTGTGTGGCCTAGAAAATGTCCTGTTATTTTGACATTGAGGCTCCAGGTGTTTGTCAAAAAGAAGCCAGTTTATCCTGCACAGACTCGTTTGACTTAAATTGCCTGCAATGTGTACGACTCGAGTACGGGTTACAATGGACTCGAGACACAAATCCTCGAGTCTAGTGGCAGCTTTTGAGAACACTGTTTGTGCTTTGTTTTCTCAGTTGGGTGCTATTGATAGCTCTGTGTACTAGATACAGGTGCTGCAGTGGCTGCTGGGACTCCATCTTGTTGGTCTGTTTCAGGTTACAGTGTGTGTCTGCAGGTACTATGACAATGTACATGTCGTCACTGTATAAAGCATTTACTTTTAATCAGTTTTCCCAGTGACTTATTTTCTATACCTGCTGTTCCACATTCCCGCTCTTCTGCCTGCATCGTTTCTTTGTCCATTCACATACACACATCTGTTGTATTTGCTGATTTTGTTGTTGTTTTGACATTTATTAAATTAAACATTTCGTCTTCGTCTTCGTCTTCTGTGCAGGTCCAGAGCCGCAGCTCTACAATGTAAACTACAGCCCAGGGGATGGAGCTGTGGGCTGTCCAGAAGAATACGATGAGGTAAGGTGCTGCACAAGAGGCTTAGCCTCAGTCTAGTTGTGTATGTGGTCCAGTTGTGTACTCAGTTCCCATCAGTGCACACAGGCTGAACTCTCTGTGCACTCACTCTACCCACTGCTATTGACTGAGTTGTTTGCAGAGCTATCATTACCACTGTGTGACTGTTCCACAGGCTGAACACCCTGGTTTGGCTGACACTGAATAGCATCTGGCATCTGCTGGACTTTTGAGTGTTCTTTGACAAATCTTGAATTATCTGGAATGTACCACAGTTCCAACTTTTTTAAAACATTGTGGTCAGCATATCTGGGATTTCTGTCTCCTCTTGTGCATGAAACTTGTATATTTAACCATCCTTGTTGCTGGCCTCCACTAAATTGAAAGGTTTCCGTTTTTGTGTGGCTGACTGTTTTATTGCTGTATATTGCACAGTATCAGCACCCCCCCTTGACATAATTTAGAAGTGCAGGCCTGAGTACTTGAATAAAAAGTACCAACAATTCCTTCCTGCATTTTTTTTATATATATAATAAAACAGTGGGGACCTTTCATATATTATCAATAGAGTACCATCAAACTACAGTACTTTTACACAGTGAAAGCAGCTGAACTACTCATGTTTTATATTTAGCTACTAGTTGCATTTAATCACATTGTAGCAAAACCAGCTGAATAAGCAGATTGTAACCAGTTGTCAAATATTGGTGTTCATATCAACGCATTTTGTAACGTAAACATCACATGTACCTCCTTTCACAAATCAAAACCTTATTTTATAGATTGCATGTTGTAAAAACAGAGTTGGTTATTGTAGTTTTGGGTTTCCTATCAACATGAACAGTGAAGCAAATAATGTAGACTACTAAAACCCCTTGATGACCGATTGCCAAATTTTGCTAAAAAAAAAAAAATGTTTATGCTGTAATTCAGTCTTAACTAAATACAGAAATGATAAACATTTTAGATTCAATTGAGCCTACTTGCACATTCCAAGGATACCATGATCTCAGATGTCAACTGTAAATAAACACCCACCACCCCATTTAGAAATCGTCGAGACACTACTCATAATGCCAACATTTGATAGTATCAAACCAATGCATTGACAGCCGGCAGTACATCCAAAGGTACATGGCAAACGGTAACGTCCAATGGTGAATTTGGAGTAGTGTTACGAACTTGACAGAAATGCTGATTAATTAGCTGATGATAAATTAACAAAACTATCAAAATGGCCAGCCACACCATAGAGCTTGGAAATCCAGTATGATGACTGAAAATTGAAGTAGAAGTTAATGCTGTGATTATAGGTTATAATTTGGTCGAGGTGAAATGTAGTGAGGGAAAAATGGGTCAAAGAACAGAACCTGATGGTACTCGTATTTCACATCACAAAATATTGTATTATTTTAGGAAATTCTGTTCTTTCACATAAATAAGGTTAGAATCACATGGCCAGAGTGTCCACAAGCCAGAGTGTCCAGACTGGTTTTCCAATCAGTCGAGGAGGTCTGGTTTCAAAAGCTGCACTGAGGCTGAATAAGAGAATCAGAGGTGAAATCTGAATTCACAGTAAGAACAAGCTCATTCACCACCTTTCCTACTTCCTTAAACAGATTGGAAAAACTCAGTTAAGTGTGCTATATCCAGTTATTTTCTACTTGAAATATTCATGTTGCTGTAGATGTTGGAATCTGTATGCAAAGTTTCAGAGGAAGTCTGTGCACGTTTGAAGTAGTTGCCACACCTGTGTCCATGCCTTGTTTTTCCCAGAAAAGGGCTCCTCTCTCTCAATGGATGTGCTGTTCTAGCCCTGTTTGCTTTCAAAACAGGCAAGGTGAGGCTGTTCCGCTGAGGCCTGGCATTAAGAGAAAAGCAACACCCCATGTTTCCTTTACTAAATGTGTTCTATGTTGCTAACTCTCACACGGCCGTCTCACTTTTAATTCTTAAAAGATCCATATAACAGCAATAGTGACCTTTGGGTTTTTGTTGTTGTTCTGTCAAAACCATCATGCAATCACACTGATTCTGTTGCAGCTTAACAGCATGTTGCTTTTCTAGTGGCACACATACCAACAGTGATACAGGTTGTTGTAAGGTTATAGTATAGCTGTCATTCATTGTGCAGTAGAATGCAGCTTAGTGATTTTTCACTGCCACACTATGCCAGGACATGAAGTTTCCAGGGGCCAGGGAAGATTAAACAGTTGTTCAGCTGATTGTGTGCTTTAACTTTGTTTTGAAAGGTGGCACTAGCTGACTGAGCATTAGAGCTGACTTTTGTTACTCTTTGGACTTGGACTTTGTCTGTCTCCACCCCTCTGACCATCAGGTGGCACTAAATGAAATGTTAGAATAGTTTCCAATTTTCCAACAGACTGTCTCAGAGAGTGAAGGTGAAGCAGCATTAGTAGGAGTTATTAGAAGACTCCCATGGCAGGACAGCTTTTCTGTCAGGGACTGGATAGAGACAATGGGTTTGGGCATGGTGGATAGCCCTCTGGGCCCTGCTTCTCCTGACACCAGATTTATAATGGTACGTTATGCTTTCCAGCACGACTCCCCTGTCTTGCCGTCATTATTTAACCGCTCTGCCAATGTGTCTCTAGTTGGTGATCTCCTCAGATGTTGTTTTTGGCATTTATCAGTGTTTTGGCGCTAGAAAAGCCTTAGACTTGCTCATTGTGTTTAGGCTTGTTTTTTTAGAGGTGGTTATGTGGCAGGTTTTTACTTGGAACAGCGAAATGAAACACAGCAGACTATCTCTGAAGTCTGTTGATTGATTCGTTTGGTCATTGTGTAGACATGGCTTGAATTATACTGAAGTGCTGTCTTAAGTGACTGTAGCAGCTTTTCGAGCACTACAGTACATCTTTGTGCAGTATTACTGTAGTGGAACAAAGGGGCCGATCCACATTTTTTCAGTTCAGATTCTGATTTATTGCTTTTTGTTTGCAATAAAACAATCAAAATGATAACTGAGTAGTGGTGGACAACAGCAACCTCTAGATGGTCAGAGGCCAAGGACGCATACACTTCTCCAAATTATTGCATATTTACAAATCTTCACTTTTGGGCTAGAATAAACTTGGCTTTTGTTTTACAAGATTTCACATTTTTCATTTATAAATATAGCAAACACTGGAGCATTATTAATTTATTCTTAATAAAAAAAACCTCTTTGTATCAAGGGTCCAGTAAAGTGGCAACTGAATAGATGGGATCACCTTCAATGCTGCTCACATCTGAGGTCCAAATATCAGCTGTGAAGTTTATGGCTTTAATGTCTGTGTACTTTTTGTGTATAGTAGTCTCTGAAATGTATTTTCTGGATGGCAGACTACACCTTGGCTTTAAGTGCTCCAACAGGTTGCGAAATCTGACCTTTTACACTTCAGATAGCGGTTGGTCGAGTATAATGAAGTTGAGCAACTTCTCTGTATTCCCTTTAGCCTTTGGGTTGTCTGCTTGAAGTTCATGCATTTGCAGGTACTTGATTAAATTGGTTGTGTTGTAGACGCAACCGTACCTCCACCTCTAGCCATGCTGGCTTTACACACATTACAGATGGCTATCTTGTTTTTCAGTGTTTCCAGACTACAATATCCCCAAATAAATGACATTTTAGCCAAAGCAGCAGCTGATGTTATTTGCTCACTCGGTTACAGACTGAAGTTGCTGCCGGTTTATGGTAAGATCTAGGATGGAATCTAGGTCAGTGATGCGTCTCATGTTAGGTTACGGCGGGTTCATGGTTCAGTGCAAGCTGCAGTCTGGAATGTGGATTGGCCCTGCCCAACTGATGAGTGACGTCTAGTGGATCAGACCCGTCTCTGTTGTATAAATCAAGTTCTGTTCATATTCCTGTCCGTTACCTTGGTGAGTTACTCAGTAGGGATTTGTAGGTTTACTGCTTAATGTTCTCACTGTAATGTGTTTCTTCTTGTTCCATTTCTTTTACTGCAGCAAAATGAGGTGACTGACAGTGCGTATTTGGGCTCCGAAAGCACTTACAGTGAGTGTGAGACCTTCACTGATGAGGACACAGGTGCCCTCGTACCCCCTGAGATGCATGAGGATGTGGAGACAGACAGCGGTATTGAGGCCACGCTGCATGACCCTGAAGATGGTGGAAATAGGTTGGTATTTAGTTTCAACCTCAGCCATATACAGTGTACATTTTGGCCAGCATTCTCATATAATATGAGGTGTCTATATATTTCTGTCCTCCTACTACATACATGAGAGGGTCAGCATATCAGGAACCCTTCTAAATATAATGTAGTCCATAACAACGGCACCTTTAACTATGACCTCAGTAAATATAATTGATTTTATACATTTTTGGCAATTTCACCAAAAAATGAAACATTTAGATCTTCATAAACAGATGTTAAGGTGGAGATGTTGCATACAGGTGTACCTAATAAAGTGGCTGGTGAGTGCAGTGTTGGCACCCCCCCCCAAGGCTGTAATTGTAATTGACTTTTCAGATCAACATAATCATAAGTGCCAAGTGTTGCCCTACACTGATCTTTTCATGCAGATCCCATGGTATACGAGTCTTGTGTGCCCAGCACTGGATCACTTAGGCTCTATTTGGGTCAGACAGGCAGATTAAACGGCCACCATTTCATTGGTTCAGTGTCTTAAGTTCCCCAGGATACACAAGTGTCTAGAAAGTCAGTCATGGTGCTGTACAGATGTTCTTCTGTTTAATTTTTCCCTTAATTGTTCATTAGATGCAGCTAATTAATGTAGTCATACACCATGTATTTCCACAGGCAGTTTGAGGCAACATTTCACACAGTCAGCAGGGACATTCAGTGTTGGGTTTTTTTTTATTTCTAAGTTTGAACAGGAAAGTCCATTCAGAGATAACTTGGAATGTGCACAGTGTAAGCATCTGAGACCTTGAACACAAAGTCCTACCAGCATTCTTTACCCATGTCAGCGCAAACATAGTAAGTGAAATATTTAGTTTCATGTATACTTTGGGTTCTGTTATGTTTAGTGGAGGTTAACAAATTACCTTTGTTCACTGAAAAAGGCCCAGTTGATATTGGTCCACTAAAAGTAGTCAAAATAGTAAAGTTCATCCACTTTACTAATACTGTTTTCCATGTCTCTTGCATATGGCCTGTGCCTCATACTGACCAACAGCTGTTAGTCCTTGTCACATATTTGAGTCGGTGTTTCAGTAATTGACTGATAATATAATGTTGCACTTAAATCTTCACTGATGCTCATTACACAGATATATATTGATCAGTTTGAGTTACCTCATGTAGCTATTATGAATTGAGTGACCAGTGGGTTTTGACTGAGGTATACAGGGTAAACAGAAATGTGAGAATGGAGCCTTCTGAAAACGGGCTTGTCTGAGTTGTGGTTTTATTATGGGTTCAACACAGAGAAAATATTGCCTTAATAGTGTCTCTATCCATAAGTAAACTCTAGTACTGGAATTTAGTTTCATTAGAGAGAGAGAAAGCTACACCACAGTAAGCTACATGCACAGTAAGATGTCATTCCTAAGCATAATGGTGTCTCTGTGCTTCTGGGGTCCATTATTTTCACCAGACAAGTAGGTTGCTTTAATAGTTGTTAGGATGTCATTCAAACCCTGATTATGAACTCCATGTGTCTTACATTTGCACAGTGTTCTTGTTGTAGTATTTAGAGCAAACTCTAGGGAGGAAGTGTAGGACAGTAACGTATATCTGCTGATGGTGTGACCCGTCTCTGGCCTGATGACTGATTAGAGTGGTCTGCCTGACATGGATGTGCTTGGACTTCCTATTCCATGACGGATCCTTGAATTCCAGGAAATGCTGAGTTAGTTTTTTTTTTTTTTTTTTTTTCTCTCCCTTTCTGTGGCATGTGCTAATCTGTACCTTGACTCAACCCATACATCACCCCACAAAGTCTGCTCCTGGCTGGAACTTGCACTTGTATGACTTTAACTTTTTAAATTCTCTCATTCCAGTAGTGTGTTAAATAAAAATTTGCCCACTCGCTTCACAGAATGAAGCGGTATTATATGATTTTTAAATTATCATGCAAGTGAAAAACCTCAACAGTCTGTGAATGAGAAGTTTATATGGATGTTTCATATGCTCAAACCTTTAAGGACATTCCCTAGTCAATAGACAAGTTGCTGCTTACACTGATGCTGAGTCAGTGTAAGTAACGGAGGCCAGTAACTGAACTGAGATTTTGCCATGCTGTCTGGTTAGCCCAGCTAACCATAGCTATAGCCTGCAGATGTATATATTCAGGGATTAAGAATCTAACAGGATTAACCTACCCCCTCCTCTGTCCTACCATGTCCTGACACACATTTGGACCTTGGACTGTCTGTTGGCCATTGCTTAGCATCAAATCTGATTATCCATTCGCAGTCAGCCCTTTCTGGTACAACCTCAAGTCTTGTGGGTGGCACAGAACATGCACCATCAGTTGTGTGGCATTGTAGATGGGGAGCTCATTAGGCTCACTTGTTCTCAAAGGCCAGATGCCTGTGTTTTCTCCAAGCTGGAGAGTCTTGGTTTTAGTTTAAATTGGTGTAACTTGTGAAACTTCAGGATTCCATTGTGGTTATCTGGGGTTTTAACTCCAGTTGCTCCATGGCTTTTATGCCAGGGCAGTGGAGGGCGTTTAAAGATGCATTCTCTCTCTCCACTGTCCGTGTGTCATGGACCTCAATATGGGGCCAAGTAGAAAGAGCAAGAGTAAAGGGTAAGTGGCTTCAAAACTGGATGTGTTACTATTTAACCAGCTCTGCCAAAATGTTGTTTAGGGCATTATTACAGCGGAAACGGCATTGTCTGGTTTAATGATACTAAAGAGTGTCCATTTCCAAAGTCTGACTGCTTTTTGTGTATAACGGTATATGATTTTAAAGTAATGATTTAGCTTTGAATTTGACACATGAAATGTGATTTTACTTGTAAGCAAAATGGGCTTTGTCATCATGTGCTGAGAAAGCAAGCCTTTCTGCTGACTGGGCCATCCTGTGTGTGTGCTTATCACATTCAGTAAATTGTGTTGGACAATAGGAAGGGCTAGTTTTCCAGCTTTCCTGTTAAATGGAGATCAAGGAATTTTAAACTCTTGAGCAAAAAGACTTGCAGGTCCACTCAGAAGATTTCTATTCAGTTTTCTAAGATAACCAGCCAATTATGTAAGATGAAGTCATGTAACCCCACAGATGACTTTTACAAGTCTCGAGTGTTGTCATTATGCTTTTGAATTACCAGAAAAGCACAAGGCATTCAGCCCAAGCAGCTTCTGGGATTAAAGTGAATTACCAATTACCTTTGAAGATGAGTGAGTGTTGAGCTTGTCCAGATTGTCACCGTTTGGGGGGGGGGGGGACTAATTGTTTGGGATTTACAGGCTGCTGTCTAGTACACCAACCTATGCCCAGTCTTTCTAGTGTTTGTTACCCACACTCTGTAGCTCGAGTACTATAGTATGTCAGCTGTATTTAATTTTTTGGAATGGGCCCTGTTTGGTCTGTCTCAGATTGTGGCTTCTTAAATGCATAATCATGTGGCTGGTTCAATCCAGTCCGATGTACATTTTATCCTGTTTAAACTTCAATCACTTACAGTACCTCAACCTTTGGCCAGGACCTGAACATATAAAGGTCTGCTGCTGCTGTGTAAAAGTGAGCACACACTTAATCCATTTTCATGTCCCTCAGGTTTTCCCTGAACTCTGAGCTCCATACCCACTCTCTGGTGACGGTCATCTGTGGAGAGGAGGAGCACTTTGAGGACTTTGGGGAAAGTAATACTTCAGAGTTGCTGCTGGAGAGCACTGTGGATGGGACAGGAGGGGAAGGAGACTCTCCTCTTGTGCAGCCCTCTGAGCAGCTCAATGGCTCCTCACTGCTCTCTCCCAGGTATGAGCTTATTTCCCCTACAATTGTGAGTAACTGACAAAAACAAATATGAAAACATTTTGTATGCTATGCTCTAATTCTGTAAAAGACCAAAGCAAAGGTTATTTAAGTGAGGTGAATAATGGCACCAGGCTGTGCAATTTCAGCATTTTTTTTTTTTAAATCAGACCCATCCTGATAAGAGGTGTGACTCAGATTCTGAGCTGTATTGTTGAAGACTAAATGCCTCTGTTTATGTACTACATAGAAAATTACTTTAAACAAAAACTCTGGGGTCAAATGATAAGAACTATTTTGAGATGTCCTTCCTACTCCAATCTAGGGCAAGTTAAAGAGTAAATACAAAGTTCATTGCATCAGGCTTGTTGTGAAGTTGGTGAAAATGTGGATCTTGGGCTTCTGTTTAAAAACTGTGCCTCCCATTCATTGGCTCTTGCTGTGTTATCCCGAGTAGCCAGAGTAAATGCTTTACAGTCTCACTGTTAAGTCTTAAGTGTGGTGTCTGTTCCCAATTGTTCTGGGACAGACAGAAGGCGGACGTTATGTGGTACAGTTCAGACAACTGGGGAGAATCTAACCAGCTGCCTGAGCTGCAGTGATACTTCTACAGGTTGATTTTAGCAGTGTAAAGTGTCTGCCAAACACCAGCACATACACACGCTCTTGGTTAATGGCACAATTCATATGTATTGAAGCTCCCGCTGTAGCCTTTTTCCAGTCATCTTTTCCCCTCCCCCTACAGTGTTCATGAGACTGTAAGCTGGATAATGCGCAATTCCCATTTGGGTGATATTTCCGCCATTTGCCTTGCCAGGAATCTCTTAACAGCTTAGTGCCCAGTTATTGCAGCCTGCTGACAATATGGAAACAAAGTGGTCTAACTGGATTGGCACTAATAGTACAGATTCAGTCATCACTATTAATCTTCAGTGAAGTGCAGCTTCACTGCTTTTTTTTTTTAATCATCATTGGAGGAAAGCTAGCATACGGTAGCTCTGTGTGTGTGTGTGTGTGTGTGTCGAAAAAATAGGATGCTTGGATATTAGCCTGAATGATCGTTGTTTGCAAATTGTCTTCATAGCATGAAGTAGTAAAATAAGATGCAGTAAATATAAGACCATAGTAATTGGAGGCCAAATGTATACAAGAGTTGAATCTATAAATTTGTCATTTATGTAATGGTTTTAAAGTGAGACAAACTGTATCTGAAAGATTACATCACATCCAGGTTATTAGGTTGGGGGAAAAAAAATCGTACACAAAAACTTCATCCCACAAATTTCACCCACTCGGTACAAATGCGTCACCATGTTTTCAGCCAATTGTGCTCTTTGTTGGCACATGTAGCCATGCTGCCTACACACACCCCCTCATCACAGCACTTTGAATACGCAAACACACTCTGCAGTTATTAAACAGTCATCCTTTACTCTGTTTGGAGAAAATACTGCGATACAACAATGCATATGACCAAGTGCCACTCACTCAGTCTGTCATGTAATGCAGTGTTTCTGCCTTTGTAGAGAGAACCCCACATAATTCAGACCGGACTCACTCCCTGAATGATTAATCAGCTTGTAGTGATGATGTGAGGAGAGGGATATGGGCACAACAATGACCAACTGTGCATTTAATTTGTTTTGTTTACTTTGCTATTTAATATATCAGCAGCCATTCTGTAGCTTGTTTGAGCATTGAGGTTGAGGACACAATGTTTGACAAAAGAAAAAAATCTTAACAGTGCTAAGGAGAGAAACGGATTCTATCCCCTAGCATGTTTGTTTCCTGACAGTACCCAGAAAGCAAATCACAACCACGCTGTGCAGCCTGTTTCACATCTCCCTCCTGCTGTAGCCCCTACACTTGACTCTTTCAAACTCTTCTGAGGATTTCACTAATATACCCTTACACCATCAGAGGTGTTTCGTCACACCTCAGTGCAGTCCCTTCTTGTCTGTCACTCACCACTTCCTCCTCCTCTTCCTCCCTGTTTTCCTTTTTCCAGTGCACCTGCTCCTCTCCCTGACTGCTTTCAGAGCTTCCTCAGGGAGGAGGCGCTGGACTTTTTCTGTAGCCAATGTCACAAACAAATAAGTCGTCTCGAGGACCTCTCCACTCGCCTCACTTTCCTAGAGATGACTAGGTAACTCATCATTCACACCCCACTTGTGAATGCGATTGCCGTGCTGATTGGATACAGTATTGTGCGTGTTGTCATAATGTGTGCATGCTGTGTTGGACTGGCAACAACTTGGTGTGTTTTGTTATGGGCCGCACATGTGCTCACACATATGGTATAATTGGTGGGTTTTCTTAACTCCACCTTATCCCAGTCTTTTTTTTATGTGCATGTTGCAGTGTTTGCATTTATTAACAGGAAAACTCAGCATTTCACTGGCTACTTTGCACTTGATAGATGCAATAGCCAGTTCTATCCCATTGTTACTATCTGTCACTCATACATGATAGTCTGCTGATCTCAAAATAAGCTTAATGTACTGTTTATCTAAAAGAAATATGAAACTAACCCCAGGCATCACAGGTGAGTAGGCTCTGACTCAGTCATTTTTGCTCTCGTTATCATCATACTTCATTTGAGCTGTTGCCAAATGACTCCTTTTACCGTAACAACCTCCTGATCCAGGATTAAAGCCCAGTAGCTGTATTACAGAAACAACTTGAAAATCCCTACATACACACCTTGTAAATTTGAGACAGGACACAGTTTTAGAGCTTTGAATTTCACATCTATTTTAGATATTTTGAAAGTTTCTGTAATGCAGCCAGAGGTGGCGCAGAACTGATCCTAGACATTACGTGCACTGCTGTGTTATAGATGTGATGTGTGAATATTTTGTAGCTTTGGTTTAGACAGAAATCTAATGTTATTGGTTTAGACAAAAATCTAATGTTACTAAAGAACCAGCTCATCATGCCCCCCCCCCCTTTTTTCCTCCTAAGTGGGGCTCCTCTGCTAGTAGAGAGAGGGACTGGGGAATAGGATTACTATCAGGAGAGATTTCTTTACTCTGTCCTTTTTCTCTTCCTGACCATTTTTCCTGTTTGGTCTTCCCATTCAGTGCTGGCAAGAGGCTGTCCAGCAAGAAAGTAGCAAGGTAAGCTAAATAGTTGTTCTGATTTTCATAGACAAGGGCTCATACTTCTAGTACGACTGTAACAGATAGTTGTTTGGCATAACAAAATAGTGGTTTATCAAATGCAAGCTACCACCTGGGACTTGACTGTGTTCCCCTCTTTCCCTGCAGACACCTCCTCCAGAACAGCTCAATGACTCTTGACACCATGAGTGACTTGACACGGGATATCCTGGAGCTTGCTGACAATGACATCACAGACAAGGTGAGTTAATTGACGGTCTTTGTCGAAATACCTGCCTTTTCATCCCTCTGGTTACACATCCATGTCCCTGAGCTGCCAGTGTTGTTACTTCTTCATTTATAAACTACTGTAAAATTTCATATTGGCAGTTAAACAGATACTGTACATCATAGTATATTCCTCCAGCAGCATCGTTCATTTTTGTCTTGTTTAAACGTATACCTTTCCTAGGTGCTCCTCCTTGAGCGTCGAGTGGCCGAGTTGGAAAAGGAGTCAGAGGCCTCGGGGGAGCAGCATGCGCGGCTGCGCCAGGAGAACCTTCAACTGGTGCACCGGGCCAATGCCCTGGAGGAGCAACTGAAGGATCAGGAGCTCCATGATGATGAACAACTACAGCAAGAGATCCGTCGTCACAAGGAGGCCCTGAGCAAGCTGGAGAGGGAGAGGGGGCTGGAGCTGGAAAACCTGCAGGCCAGGTGAGCAGATGAGGAAAGATGCTTCCTGTATTAAATACGGTTTTATTCTGTGTGTACAGTAAATATGTACTAATGCTTATAAACTACAAAATGTATCAGCTATTTAGATGTTTTCATAATGATCTATGCAGGCTGTACATTTGGATGCGTTTGTGATGCTAGTTGTTGACATACTGTACAGTACTGTTTGTGGGAGGAATAGTGACTCCATTCTGCCACCTTCTGGCATACATGTGCTATTGAACATGAGCTGTCTTTTTATGGTACAGCATTGTCAACCATTAACAAAAAAGTATATACAGTATATCAGTTGATAATGTGTTTGTACTGGAGACTTTTGATGTGAATGTCTGAATGGTTTGTTCCTCAGGCTTCAGCAGCTGGATGATGAGAACAGTGAGTTGAGATCCTGTGTTCCTTGTCTACGAGCAAACATCGAGAGACTAGAGGAGGTGAGCGATTATCACGTCTTTGTTTCCCTTGCCTTCCTTACTCGTATTACAAATATTTTTATTTATTTTTATAACCTGTCTTAGCACTCCACTTCGTCCTCACCTCCTTGGTTCATTTTCTTTTCTAGGAGAAGAGGAAGCTGCAGGATGACACGGAAGCAATGTCTGACAGGTTGAAGGAGGAGACGGAGTCTCGCAGGAAGATGGCTGACAAGCTGAGCCATGAGCGCCACCAGAACCAGAAAGAGAAGGAGTGCACTCAGGAGGTGGGACTGGTTTCTCTATGTACAAAATATACGATACATCAGTCATTTATTAAAATCCTAATGACTTTACTAAGTAATGTCTCGATCTCTTTGCACCACAGCTTATTGAAGACTTGCGTAAGCAGCTAGAGCACCTACAGCTGTACAAGTTGGAGGCCGAAGCAAAGAGAGGGCGCTCATCCAGTGCAGGGCTACAGGAGTATCAGACCCGCACCCGCGAAGCTGAGCTGGAGCAAGAGATCAAACGACTCAAACAGGTACAGAGCATAGCATTCTTTCGCTTTAACCAAGCTATTTTGAAAAGGAAGAATTATTTACCCTCTGGCCTGTAATGTTTACTGACATTTTACGTTTGACTTAACCTGTTCAGGACAACCGCAGCCTAAAGGAGCAGAATGATGAATTAAATGGCCAGATTATCAACCTGAGCATCCAGGGGGCCAAGAACCTGATGTCAGCCTCCTTCTCAGACTCTCTGGCAGCTGAGATCAACTCTGTGTCTCGTGCAGAGGTATGTTTAGAGAATGTATTCGTCATTAGTCTATTGAATTTCAATGGGCAGTTTTTTTTATTTTTTTTATCGACACTAACTGTTGTCTATTTCTAGTTGATGGAGGCTCTGCACAAACAGGAGGAGATCAACTACAGACTCCAGGACTACATTGACAAAATCATTGTGGCCATCATGGAGTCCAATCCATCTATCCTGGAGGTCAAATAGACACCATGCAGCCAGGGGACCACACAGAGTGACTCCATGGGCTGTTTAAAAAATATTGGTGACTTGACTGAATCAAAATTACCAGGATGATGTAAAATATTCTGACATCATTTTGGTAGGAAAAAAACTGATGCACTCAACTCCTCGAAACAGAAAAATGTAAGATTTCTAAGAAGTTTGTGGCTGTCGGTGAAAAATAAGCTATTTTCAGTTAGATATTCCTTGAGACTGTGCTTGTTTGTCCATGTATGTGTTAACCCTCCTGAAAGCACTTGGGTTCTGGTGACTTCCATGCATTTGGCTAGAGGGACCTGAGTATTCATTCCCCTGTTGAATGGATGAAATGTGTGCAAGAAGTCGGTATCATTCAGAGTAAAAGTCTACACCCCTTTCCAAAAACGGTGTCGGTGTTTGATTAAGCTAAAACTAAGATCAGTTGTACCTAAAGGCCTTAAATGGAAGGTGAGTATTGGTTATACATACCATACATGCCTCTGTTTAGTCGGTGAAATGTTACTGGCATGACTTTGGTATGTGGACTGTGACCTCCTGCATCAGGCTGAGTCGCGTTGAATCCTAATCACAAAGCCGTATGAAGCTGTGGTCAGGAGACAAGTAGAAATTGTTCATAATAATAAGAAAGTTTGCTGTGCTGCCTATCGAGCCCTATGGTAGTGTCCTTTCCTTTAACCAAGTTCAACTGTCTTTCCAGTGAACCCAAGTGAGGGACATTTCTAGGTGTTGTGGATGAGAAGTGTCCGGAGGGTTTTTTTTGTGTGTGTGTGTGTGTGTGTGTGAGAGGTGTTTTTTGCTCTCTTACTTAAAGGTATTGCAAAGGCTTGGTGACACTTGAAGTAACGGTAATGAAGCCAGTTGTTCATGTAAGCTTCAGTGTCTCAAATGAAGGAACTGAATGGTTGTAATTTGCTTCATGATTTATTTTTACAATGAAACAGGGTCTTGGAGCTCAGGTGGGCTGGAAACCAAGTGGAAAAGCAATACATTTCCCATCACTCCCTGGCACAACTGTTAGACAAATCGTATTTATCTCACTGACTGACAAAACGTAACCAGCTAAAATGCACCAAACACTTAAAGTAAACATGAAGGGAAACCTGCGAGTGACTGTGGGAATTGTAGTTTTATTTTTGTAAGTACAGCCCACCTGATCCTAGTGTTCTCTTGCTGAGTAAAAGTGTGACCAGTTACTGACTGATAGACTTTTGATAGGCTGTATGTGAGAATCAAATGCGTATACTTTGCACTACATTTTTTTTTCTGTGTTTTGTTGATAGAAAACTGTTTATTGAAATGGGATCAAATGTAGGATTGAAGATGTTTTGAAGGCATGTGGGATTTGTTGCTATGGGATGTACCAGCAAACCTGGGGATGGTGTGCAGACAACTCACTCAGTTAAGAAAAAAAAAGCATCACACTATTCATAGTGCAATATTGAATTGGAAATGCCATGTCTCAAGATAAATTTTCACCTGCATACTGTATTTTTCAGCCATCAGGAGTTCATATGAGCTTTTCTGCTGGCTATGGGCCTGTTTTTTTTTTTTTTTTTCCTTCCTTCTTCTAAGACCTGATCTGCACATGTAATATTGAAGAACTTTGGTAGCAATAATGCTTGGCAAGAAAGTGGACATTAGTGGAAGGCAGGTGAAACTAGCCTTCTCTTCTGCTGAGGCAACATCGGCTATTTTGAAGACACACGGACTGCTTTTAGACTTAACACCATGCTTATTGGTACCGTGCAGCCATTGATACTTTTGGACACTACCTTCTGACTCAAACTGGACATACTGTAGGTAGCAGACATCTGGATGGATTCCTAATTGAAGTCGGGGAGGTTGTTTTTGACTAAACAGCGTGACATTCTGCACCAATATGATGAGAATTCCTATTTTTCACCCCATTCACCTTTCTCTCACTGCTCTTCTTCACTCCACTGAAAAATGGCCTTGGATGTAAATGTGTTGTAAAGCGTTCTTCTTTTTTTTTTTTTCTTTTTCTACACTCATTCTAGATTCTAGGTATTTTTATAGTCTTATGGTGAGCGACCGCTGCCTGTATTCTTCTCTAGCATGTAGCGTGTACAGCATCTGTTTTTTTTTTTCCTCATTTTAAAGTCACATGCAGATATTTATTCATCTTTTGACACAAACGACAACTCGCACTTTGATCTGTTCTGCTGAAAATGATATGTACATTTGTGATTTCACAAGAGGAGATGGCTTCATGGTTAATGAATCTGTGGGAGAATTTGACTTGAGCAAATGGTTTAAAACAGTCATACTGTCTTTGGATGCGTTGCCATTGTGTAACAGGTTTGAATATGACCTGGTCACAATGGTTGGTTGTTGAGGGCCTTGCACTCTTCCATAATACTGATAAGGCTTTGACATCTTTAAGATTGTGATTTTAGATATGACTGAGTTTGCAGGTTCTACTGTTGTCTTCCCAGATGGAGTCAAGTATTGCATGGAAACACCGATTTTTTTTAAATTGTATAGCTCTGATTCAGTTGTACGACCTATGTTTTGACTTCCAGACCATATGATATAATATCCATTAGTGCGGTTGTAGAGATTGTGAAACCTCAGTGTCAGCACATGACACCTCATATTCAGGCTTGCTGGTGTGACTGGATATTTGCTCCAGGAGATTTAATACCTAGTTCTTTATCAAGAAGGGAATCATTTACAGTATGCTTTACAAAGAGGGAACAGGATGATACCCAAACACGGCAAGCTATGTTACACTTGATTCTCTCACTGCTTCATATTTTGTCTTTTTTGACAAGTAATTTGATGACTGGCAACAGAATAACTAGACAATAGGTGAGACCACAGAGCTGAGAAAACATTCCCTTTTAGCAGAAATGAAGCTGGGTGTACTTTAACCAGATCTAGTTTCCCTATTTGAATTTTGAAAATGACCAAAGATGGATGCTTGAACTTCAACTGATCATTTTGTCTATCAGGGTCCTTGATCACACTTTTGGTAACACTTTGCCTCTTCTAATAAATCACAAATCAACATCTCAGCTTTCCCTGAAAGAAAAATGAAACTTGTCTGTTAGTCTAAACACTGTGCCTCAGTGTCTCAAACGTTGACTCTAAACTAACCTGATGAGTCCTGGGAAAAGCACTGACCATGTAACTGTCAGTCTGTTAAATAACCATGAAACCTGAACTGTAAATATGAATTGTCTTTATGTGAACTTTTTTCCTTCTCTCTCATACTCGCTTCCAGTGTCCAAAGAAAGTCTGCTCAAGGCACAAACATCACTACTGAAGTAGTGCATGGCTTGCCATTATGTGACATGGGAAGATAGAATATTGTAGAAAAGAGAAATTGTAAAAGTTAAATTTATTCCTATTTTCAAAGATAATGTATAAATGATGACAGTATTGGTTACAGCTGTATATTATTTTTAAAGGTCCCCAAATGGTCTCATCCTAATTGTTACTGGGGAAATGTAACTTCAGTCATTGTACAAAGAGAACATTTAAAGTTGAGCAGTGAGGTTAAGATTAGAAAAATAAATGGAATAAAATGACCCTGTGGTAGTTTGTCGTTTTTGTGTGTGTTTACTTTAACATGTTTGTGTTCTACACATTTACATCTAGTGTCATAATCCAGTTAGTACCTCCACCAGTTACGCAACATGAATTTAATTTCTAGACCCAAAAGAAAGGAGTGAATCCCCATTATAGTATAGGTGTGCAAACCTAAAGGTTCGTTTCTGATATTTGCGTGTTATGGAATTAAATAAACAAGAAAAATATTGATCGATATAGAGCCTACTTGAATTATTATAACTGATTAATTTGCCAATTTGTTAATCGGTGTATATATGGAATTAAATAAAAATATTTATCGATATAGAGCCTACTTGAATTATTATAACTGATTAATTTGCCAATTTGTTAATCGGTGTATATATGGAATTAAATAAAAATATTTATCGATATAGAGCCTACTTGAATTATTATAACTGATTAATTTGCCAATTTGTTAATCGGTGTATATATGGAATTAAATAAGAAAAATATTTATCGATATAGAGCCTACTTGAATTATAACTGATTAATTTGCCAATTTGTTAATCGATGTGTAAAGTGCCCAACAGATTGGTGTAAGGAACATTAGAGTTGCATAAACCGTTGGCTTCTTTAATGCCACACCCGACCGTCTGGGCCCCGGAACCTTTCGTATCTGGTGTAGTTCACCACGGAGATATTTTGGTGGAGCGCACAAGCCGCAACGCATAGCTCTTGTTCAAACGTGAAACGCCTGTAGGAACTGTAAATGTCACCGTTTACAATAACTATAAATTTTGCCTGCAGTTGTCATATAGATTTGTTGTGTTTTATAAAATCCTGAGGTGCGTATGGATTTTGACAGGTTAAAAGCTAAGGCTAAATCGACTTAGCTTGTGGCACTCAGGAGCCTTGTTAACCAATTTCATTGACAGTTACTGGATTTGGAAACTTTACTAGGTTGATGAAAATGGAACGCTAGTTGCTACTCTTACTGACCGTTAGCTACCGAAGTAAACGGAGAGTTTACGTAGAACTGGGGAATTCATTCTTAGCATAGTACGCAAGTTTAGTATGAAATGTTAGCAGTCGTAGCTTAACTGTAACGTTAATTACATAACAAAATGTTCAAAGTGTATTCATCATGGCTATTTATCATAACCCACTGACTTTGTTCTGAGCAGTTTCTACTGTGTGGCGATAGTAGGTGGTCATACCTTGGGTGAGGCAGTTTTGTGTAAAACGTCTCTTTTCAAAATGGAGCCAGTAAATTCTAATACTGAGGTGCGTCTAACGGTGGCCCAGTGTTTCCGAACACTCACTACATGCACAGATAGCAAAGACGTTATTCCTGCTCTTCAAACACTCCACTCTTACTTGGATGAAGGACCAGAGAGTACAACCACCTCAGTTCAGCGGGCAGAGTTCAGGAGAGCTCATTACACTCGAACACTTCAGTTCCTTGTGAGCAACATCCAGGCTGACTGGTTGCACAGTCTCACAGCAGCCCAGCGCACAGAGTTATGGGACGGCCTGTTCCTCCGAGGCCCACCAGAACAGGCGCTGCTGGTGCTGATGGAGGGAATAGGAAGGCTGAGGTGGGTGCTGTTGGAAGAGGGACATGAGGCAAGTTTATCATTGTCTGTTCTTTGATTATTGTTTTCATCTCCCTTCCACAGGCCCAGCACAAATCTGGACCACTTGGTCAGCGTCACTGAGAGGTACCTTCAGTGTGGACGACTTGCTGACCTGCTGTGGTCGTACTGTCTGATGGCAGCTCCCTGTGACTCCCCCCAGCTCAGAGAGACACTGCTAGGGCGTATAGTGGTGCTGCCAGACCTCACGGCCAACAGGTTACATCTCAACAACAAGCCACTTTTTCTTCCTCAACAGTACTACCCATTACTGGCCAGAGAGATGCTCACTGTCCTGGAGCGGACCTGCCAGGCCCTCAAAGGTGAGGGGACATCTGTTATGCACTTTGAAATAATGGGAGATTTTTTTTAAAATGTATTAAGTGTCAGGATACATTGCAGTTTCTAATTTGTTTATATGTGACAGATGGCACAGACTGTTCTGTGACTTTTGTGGCCCAGACACTAGGAAAAGTGTGTGTCCACGGGCACAGCGGTGAGTTATTTAAATTTTGTTGCTGCATTTTCACTGCATATCTCTTGATTTATGAGACACTCCATTAGTGCTACAAGTGGAAATTACATTGTGTTAATATATAACAAGAAAACGACAGCAAAAATCATTTTTATAATTATTGCCAAGTCCAATTATAAATATAAACTCCAAGCATAAGTTTGTCGGGTGTAATTTTTGAGGCAGTTTATTGCTTATTCAACAACACTTTACACAAACAATTTTGATAACCAATTAATTGTGTAAATTATTTAGCAGGCAATTTTTTTCTTTACTTTCCAAGTTTCTTATCAGTCACGCCTGAAGGTTTTTCAACTGGAAATCAATAGACGTCTGGTTATTTACTGCAGGGCCCCTTAGTTGCTAATCCCTTATATCCTCCTTTTACATTCTACAGATTTGGTCCTGGCAGTGATTGCTCCTCGGCTGTCTGCCTGTACACGCTCAGACATGGTGTGGCGGAGGGTTTGCTGGAAGCTGCTGGAGAACGTTCCACAGCGATGGATGGAAAGCGTGCTCACCGGCCTGGTGCAGGCAGTCACTGGGTCAGATGGTTGCATTAACATTTAAATAGCTAGCATTTTATTTGTACTCCAGCTATCAGTTTTGTGTCTATCTTAGAATGACACAAGTCTCTTGCTTCTTATTTCAGGTTTGATGCCTTGGGACAGATCATTGGGAATCTAGTGTTAACAAATAAACAGGCACAGTTTGTCATCACACATAAACTGCTGTTACTACAGTACAAGTATGAGGTAAGGAAATAGCTCACAGCCTGACAGTAAATCATATGGACATCTGAATATCATAAGAAGCATGTTTTTTTTTTGGTGTCTTTTTGGTGTCTTTGTTTTACCCAGACTCGAATCTTGCGGATTGTTCTTGGTTACCTGGCAGCAGACAGAGAGCGAAGGCCACTGCTCATACAGGTGAGTATATGGTATCTTCAGCAGCTTAATGATATCCTGTTAAGTGTATTGATGATTTTACATGCGTGTGTTCTTAGGTGTTACGGTCTGTGCTCCAGGCCTGGGCTAACCCGAGTGCAGTGAAACACACACCTCTAGAGCAGCAGTTGTATGTTAGCAAGGCCTTACTGCTTAGTGTGAACCTGCTGAATGACTCTGAGCTACAGGAGCTACGCTCAGGTGCGGTTCTAACAATTATTGTCATCATTCATCCCCAGAGTTAATAGATTTTCACTTTGTAGCAGCAGCAGTAGCAGAGTGATCATATAAATGGAAGGAAATTGTTACTTCACTCAGCTCCCCTCTCTGCCTGTTTTCTCAGAGTTACTTCAGTGTATGTTAGGTGGCATGCAGAGCCACCTGGACAGCAGTGTGGTGCGTATCAGACATATGGGCATGGTGGTGGGAGAGTGCCTGAGCTCTCGCATGAATATTGGTGAAACCAAGCTCAAGTTTGAGGTATGGTCAATATCGGCCTAGTTGGTGTCAAAATACTTGATTCATCACTTGATGGAAATGCTGCTATGAGAGCTGTCTGAGCTTGTGTTGTGTTTTCTTGTAGTATGATCAGAATGAGGAAACTCAAGAGCTGCTTTCTCTCATGACTCCTGCCACTGGTGATGAGCCTGAGCCTGTAAATGGGTAATGACTTTAGCATCTCTGTAACAGCTTGTATATAATCTATGTTCCTCAATATGTGTATCTTTTTTCCTGTTTATACTTTTTTCTTTTTTGTGTGTCTTGCACTTTAATACATTTTTATATTTTGGCTGCTGTAATTATGGTAATTATTACTGTTGCTACTGGATAGCTGAATCCACCTTGGGATCAATGATCTATCTAGCTATCTATGTATATCTATCTATGTATATCTAACTAACATTCCAGTTGCTTAATGAATATGTTTAACTGTGTGCCAAATCTCTGAATATCTGTAGTTGTTAATCTTATTTAATGGAGTCTGTCATCTGCAGACTTGACTCTCCTCAAGAGACCAGAGAAGTGACTCCATCCGCTGTATCATCACAAAATATGCCAGGACCTCAGCCATCAAAAACTGATCCAGACTCTGATCTGGATAGGCAAGTATCAGCTCTGTCATGCAGTCAGTAAAGCTAATATCCCTTAAAGTGTTAGAGACTTGTATGTAGTGAAGGGATCATAGAAGGAAGCATGTTGTTAACCTCCAATCTCTTATCGATCCAGTGATGATGAGCTGACTCCGTACGATATGTCTGGAGATCAGGAAATGAGTAAGGCATCCCCACCTCGCTACCTACGAGACTGTCTGGAAAGTACGGCTCACCAGATCTAATCTCTTTGATTTAAGTGATCGTCTAGTGCAATTCTTTTCAAATGTTGCATGATTTGTTCCATTTCCTGTATTTTCTGATCTGTGAATGCATCCAGATTTAATTTCCTCTGACGACCCAGTGCGTGTGGAGCTCAGTTTGAGAGCTGCTGAGAGTTTGGTGAGGAAGAACGCATTTGTAGCCAAAGAGGTATGACAGCAACAGCAAAATTCATACCTTGCCAAAACGACAGTGATGTGAATGTTTCCTATTGAATGCCACATATTCTTGCCAGTTAAAATAATTCTTGCAGTCAATGTTATAAATCACTCTTCACATTATAATTCATATTTGTTTGTCATTTTTAGATCAGTGTCCAGCTGACCAAAGTGCTTCTTCACATGGAGGATAAATACCATATAAATGGCTTCCTGACTCTCAGACACGCGACTATGGTGGCTCTCACTGTCATCCACTGTATCCCTGTATGATCTTCCACTTAAATTTTAGCACAGCTGGTTTTCTCTCACCAAAATTTGTTCATCATCATAAATTTTTATCACCTTTTTAAATATGCTGTCTTTTTTTTCACAATCTAAATGTCTCCATGTTCTTTGCTAGGTCACTCAATATTTGACCACTGAGTTTTACTCCTTGAACTACAGTCTTCGCCAGCGACTCGACATCTTGGAGGTGAAAATCAGAAGCTTCTCCGTACTTGATAATGGCTGCGTGCCTTCACCAAATAAATGTATTGATTGATTTGATTTCCTTTGATTAGTACATTCATGAGGCTGTTCTTGTTTTGGTTTGTCAGGTCCTTGCCCTGGCAGCTCAGGAGCTTTCTAAGCCAATCACTGAAAAGAGAGAGCCAGTCACTAGCACTGATGGCAGTACTGCTGTGACTCCATACCCCATTGACAGCCCTGTCCACTGGCGACAGGTAGTAGAAAAGCGAATCCAGAGCAAGACGAAACGCCTCAGTAAGGTGCTTAAAGCAGATGTTTTCACCTGCCTGTCTGGTATTTGAGTGAAGGTTTAATCCTGAGCTTTTCAGTGATTTCACTTGTTGTTACAGTGTACCACACAGCCTCCAGCTACAGCCACTCCTAATCGTTATGCCCCCGTTGCTGGACACTTCTTTTTTCCACTGCTCAGGAATTATGACAGGTATGTTATTTTATGCTAATTTAACAGCTCATTGCTTACAGGTGCTAAAGTTAATATGAACAAAACATGGAATGTTTTTCTGCTAGGCCTCAGGTGACCTTTGACCTGTTGGGCAGCGATCACCTGGTACTAGGCAGGTTGATCCACACCTTGGGCCTCCTCATGAACCTGGCAGTCAACGCACCGGTATTATCCATCTGTTCATCTTAGAATGATCTTATTAAATGTCTTCAATGTTGAGCGTGATGTCACGCAGTTGGAGACATTCACCATTCATTTTACTCAGTTCAGATACTGTAGCCTTTAAGAACAATGACACTGAATCAGAGTAATTCACTAAACTAACACCAAACTCTATGTAATCTCATATTACACTAACAGTACTATATAGGTATTTCCCAGCTCTACTCCTGTGAGACTCCCAAGACTTTCTTGTTTGTTTTGTTTTTGCAGATAGCTACACAGATGGGACGTGCTTTGCTGGACTTTGTGTGGGCAGTCCGCTACCATGTTGACCAGTAAGTGTGATGCATATCATTGTTTGTCTCAGTGTAAACTGATAAAATGAGAAGAGGACATCTGTGGTTGTTAACGACACTGCTGTGTAGTATTCCTGCTACCATCACCAACAATAATAATGAAACTCTATGGTCGATGCCTTTTGCTAGCAACATGTTTTGTTGCCCAGCTGTTCTAGAATATTCAGACAAGCAGTAGCCCCGAATATTTCAGTGTGAGCTACGGTATAATCTAAAACATGTCTGTGTTAAAGGGTGGTAAGACGAGGCGTCCTCTTCGCTGTCTGCTCTGTGTTTCTGAGCATGCCCGGTCAAAATCTGCTGCTGGACCTCAGTGATCATCTGTTTGAGACCAGAGCTTGGCTGGAAGGTAAAAAAAAAAAAACCCAAAAAAACCACTGCTGGAGACAAAAATGAAATGAGAAACCAGTCCTGCTCTTCATGTAACTTGGCCATAGAAATAATTAGATTTTAAGGGCTGTAGTCTTATTGAAGTCTTGAGGTGAAAGTCAGGCACAGTCTGGCTCTGCTATTACAGGGCCACAGTTTCATAAATTTTAGAATTTGTATATGAATAAACCAATTAAAAGTTGATACATTACTAATAATAAATTACCAATAACACTTGTGATTACTGTACATGGACTTGCACCTGCATAATGTACAGTAATCATGTCAGGAATGTCCCTTCAGTTGCACATGTCCATGGACATAAACAAATGCAGCACACATGTACACAGCTGGACAGAACATTTCTGGGAAGCAGATGAGGAACCAGGATGTCCTGTACCGCACTAACTATGACGTGATTGGCTCATCACAGCTGGATTATTTTTTTTTATCCTGTGGATAAAAGTAGTTTCACATTTCAGGGAAGTCACATGAAGATGAAGTGGAAAAGAACACCTTTTTACCTCCCATGTAGCATTGTTAATTGTGCAAAACAAATGCCAAGATGATGTAGACAGAGTTTCATGTTTGATTTTGCTTTTGTAATCATAATAAGATATGCAGATTTTGTTGCAGCTCGCTGTCACATCACGAAAGCTTCTAATAATCCTGTTTTGTGGTGTTCTTATCCACAGATGTGGCTGAAGGAGATCCAGATGCAGATTGCCGGAGTCTGGCCATACAGAGTCTGGTGCTGCTGGATAAGAGCCTGAAAAAACAGCTACAAGAGCCACAAGCACTCAGTCTAAAGTCATGACTGCAGCATCAAGAATAAACAATAAACTACTGTAAATATCTGTGATTTGGGGTGGCCTTTACCTTACCTTACCTTACCTTACCTCCGCCTTTGCTTGGGTCCCCAGAGAGGATAGACACTGGAGCTTGTTGTTTGATAGAAATGATGTCCAGGATATTTGCTAGCAGAGGGGCTGGCCTGGCGGAAGTGGATAATCTCAAACATGGAAGGATGTTCTTTTAGCTCAAGAGCTGCTTGATGCAGGTGCTGCATAGTTTTTGTCATATCCTGGAACACACAGCCAACCAGAGGAAAAGAGGGTACACGAGTCTCACGTTTCAGAATGTTATTCTTTATAATAAATCATGCGCACACACACACACACACACACACACACATATATGGACATGGACACTAGCCCCTTACCATAACCTTAAACATCAGAACTAAATGCCTTACCCTAATACTAAACCTAATTCTAACTTAACCCCTAAAACCAATTCTTAACCCTCAAAAAGGTGTTTCACAAAGTGAGGAACAGCCAAAATGTCCTCACTTTCCAAAAATGTCCTCACTCTGTGGCAAAAAATACTTTTTTTGATAGTGATTATATAACAAGTACAGTATACTACACTGTTTAGATAAACATATGTGTAAATTACCTGCTTAAATGGAAAAAGGGTGCCATTTTTGTCTATCAATAACATATGAGGATATCCTTTTTTAACTCCTTTCCTGTACTGGCACATCTCTCTGCACTGTGGTTGTTTGCAGAGGACATCCTGTAAATATTCACATGCACACTCATAAATAATGGAAATACTACTAACTACATCCTCTGGTGACATAAATGAAACATGTTCATTGTTGTGTTCTCAAACAGTGAAACCTTATGAAGTATGCTCTTGTTTATAGTTTTTATTGTTACCTTGGCTTTTTTGTGCTGTCACTCCTTCCTGAATATTTACTTAAGTAGTTAAGGAAATAACTAGTGCAGAAAACAAACTTAACATGGATTTCTCACTTAGCAACAGGCAACAATTTAAACACACCATTCATAAATACATAAAACGTTACAATGAGATTGTGATCAAGTTTCCAAAATTGTTGGGCTGACAAAGTCGACAAGATTAAATAAAAGATCAGTGCAGTTTTCTGACAGATGTTAACTTGATAATTAGGTTAAATTTGTAATATACACTGGAGTAATGGTAATATACATTACATGCTTTTAGTATAACCAGGGAGATGTTAAATCCACTAAGGTTGAGTTATTACACCTCAGTATAAAGTTTAAAACAAATTAATGTAAAATATTGAAGATTTTGCTCCTTTAACACCAAAATGAATGCCCGGTTTGGAACCACTACATTTAGATTTGTGGAAGTGAATTAACCATATCTAGTATTATACATTGCCCATTTTCCTAAACTGTTTAAGCAATAAAATGAATACTTCTCTACCTTTATTCGTGCTGCAGAATTTAAATTGAATACAGCAATCTTTTTCCCACTGTGGGTTCAATGAGAGCAGTCAAAAGACTTTTACTACCAGAAATATTGCATAGTTAAATGCACCAATGGTTTTTGCATGGTTATGCTGAATATCATTATCCTATAAATGTATCTGTAGAGTTAACAGTGTTTGTCTGAATTAAATTTAAAACAATTAAAGGTTAACTGACAAGAATCTGTGTGAAATGCATCAGAAAATTTGCACATTATTCAGACTGCTATCAATGATATGTTCGTCAACAGCTGGGTTATATTCGTTGTTTTCCGTAACCCCTCCTCCTGTCCAGCCCTCGTGGTTGTCAGGGGCAACTAGGAGAGAGAGACGCTTTATCTTCACACAGGAGGCTACACAACAATAGTAGAGGTAGTGGTCGGTGACTTAAGGTATTTCGGCCTTAACTTAAATAGTTAGGTCGGAATTAACTTGAAGCAGACGTGAGTGGTGCGGGTCTTCAGATAATTTAATAGAGCTGTTAACTCCTTTCTACAGTAGCGAGGGTCAGCAATGAAAGCTAACTTTAGCTAGCTTAGCGTTAGCTAATGTTAGCAACTAAAGCTAATTTTTGCAGGTAGTGCTAACTATTATGGTGAATCCATAGCTTCGTTAAAGTATCCGCTGTTTATCTGTATCCACTGGTGAACTAAGTCCACTTACGTATATATACATTTAGCTATATATATATACGCAAAAAGTAAAATTATAGCTAAATTGTGAAACACTGGATGCTATTTGAGGGTATATTTTAGAGTTGCGTGATTAATGATTACTGAGCTTTTACAACATGAATTAGCCAGACAGCAAAGGGATGTCAAGTTGCACAGTAAATGAAAAAGCAAGTCAAAGAACGCAATCAGGAACCACATGCAATATTGGAGGTTCCACCTAACACCAATCTTATGTTTCTCCTTTCTCATTCAAAGAGGAGCACTGGGGGCATGGCGGTGTATTTTGACCACCGTATTGAGGCCCCTGAAAACAGTGATGTGCCCTCTCAGTTGACCTGGCACTCGGCTATCCCAGTATTGGCTGTGGCCTCAAGTAAAGCCAATGCTGGAGGCAATGTCAACCTGTACCTACAGCAGGTAAACACTGGGCTTTGAATACTGACACAAAAAGGAGAACATTTAATATTGTGTTAATATTCACTGCATGTGAATATTATCAATTACAGCATACTTCACAAAGTTTGCATACTTGAACCTGTCCATAAATAGGGAGAGCATGTGGAGAGCTGCCACATAGAGCGTCCTCACCTACCTACAGTGCTACGCTGGCATCCCACAAAGCCAGTGTTGGCAGTAGGCTGGGAGAATGGAGAGGTAGTGCTGCTGACACACCCCTCTGGAGATCAAACGGTTCTTCCCAGTATGCATACAGCTTGTGTCTCACTCCTGGAGTGGAGCAGCTCTGGTAGCCGATTAGTTACTGGAGATCAGGTGAGTGTGCGGCAGTGATTGTCACTTGGGCATATGGGCATGTCATATCTATATATTGATGAATTCATAGTTTGTTAGTACTTGGTGGGCCTTATTGCCATACAGTACATGCTAAACATGCATTTTCTTTCTGGGAATCTTTGGACCAAGGCTGGATAATTAACATGACATATGTGACACAAGTTTGAGCAGGGTAATTGAGGCATGAATCAGATTGGTTGTGAATGCACAGTCAATATGGCAATTGCTTAAACTTCTTGTTATACTGCATAAGTAGTGTAATTATTTATTGACAGACTGGAGCTCTAGCAGTATGGAAGGTAGATGCCAGAGGGAGACTTCAAGGAAGCCACCTAATAAAGCATGAATACAACAAACCTTTAACTTGCTGCATCTTTAGACCTGCCTCACCTGGAGAGTAAGTAGTTGGTTATTCTTTTTTTAACTACTTAGCAGTAAGAAGATGTTGAAAATATTGTGATATTACTATGTTGTCTTGGTTTGTATGCTATATTGCTGATAATAGAACCTAACTCTTGTTACAGTGATGTGGCTATGCTAGCCCGAGCATCAGTGAACGGAGATGAAAGTGCTCTGGACATGTTCAGCTGGAAGGGGGAACCTCTCAAGATGGGCCCACAGGAGAGACTTGCATTCTACATCAGCACTGGAGATGGTAATAATGATTAGATTTATCATTATCATCTTGCTATGATACTATGTCTTACTGTTTGAATCTTGTATATAGGTAAGGTCCACAGTGTGGATGAGCATTGTAAGACAAGCACACTTCTCAGTGTGGAGGGTGCAATCAAAAAACTGTTCTACCTTGAGAAGAGAGAAGCCCTCATTGTGATCACAGAGACCCTGATGTTGTCACAGTACAGTCTGGGACCTGAGGGAGGAGCCCAGGAATTCATGAAGGTATACTTAAAATCGTCAGAAACACAATTTTAAGACTTTTGAAGGCCATGGTATTTTTAAGAGTTGATGATACTTGTAGAGCACTGCAAATGACTCTTGAGACCAATTATATACTGTCAGTGAAGTTTTGTTTCTGAAGGCCACATTGATTTGTACCAACATTGGAGCCTCAAAAAGCTTGATTGGGATGTCCCTTCTGGATTTGTCTTGTACTGTACTGTATGTATCTGATACACAAATGTTCTTCAGTAAAATCAGCATTGATGCAATGCTCAGTGTTACAAACACTTTTCGTGTTCAGTGGCAGGTCTTAAGGTCAGCCTGAACTAATTACCAGCCCAATTTCTGAATGTTCTTTTTCTCATGGCAGGTAAAGCTAAGCAGCAGGAGTGGAAAGAATGTAGACATCATCTGCACAGATAACAGTCTCCTCATCACAGCAGCAGGGGAACAGGTTATTAGGTCGGTGTAAATTCATAATATACTGTATATTAACACATGCCGTCCCTGGTAGGCTAGTGGTTAAGGCGCAGCGCTCTTGCCGCTGCAGCCCGGGTTCAAGTCAGGGTTGCGTCAGGAAGGGCATCTGGCGTAAAACACGTGCCAAATGTCAACATGCGAGTCGTCACTGTGATGATTCGCTGTGGCGACCCCTCAACGGGAAAAGCTGAAAGTGACACACATATACACCCATTTGAAACCTGAATAATGTCCTGTGTTTTCATAGGCTGTGGGACCTGGAGCGAGATGAGAACTATGTTTTGTCCCTTGACAAGACTCTGGGGTTTGAGAGAGGAGAGATGATGAACTGTGTTTCATACTGTGCAGGAAAAGGTAGCTCTAAAATATTTAACTAACTATACAATATAAGGTGCTGTGTTTCTTCACATTTCTGTGGATCTGGTAGTTTCAAGATATTTATTTAATTACATTTTGAAACCTGGACTAGACTGATTACACACACTACAACAGTGTTACTGGTGATTTTCAGACTTGTTTCAAACTTCAAAAAGTCTAATGTCATTTTGTGTAACATTGTGGCCACAGAAATCCTGGCAGCCGGTACCAGCCATGGGCGTATAGCAATGTGGAGGATGGTGGTGCAGCCAGGCAGTATCATTGGTGACACCAAGGCCCAGTGGAAGCTACAGACACCCACTGAATTAGGAGGAAACGTCACTCAACTACAGGTACTGTTTGAACAACACAAGTTTTATTTTTTATTAAAAAATATTAGCTGCATACGGTGAATGTAGTAATGATGTTCTTATGTGAAAGTTCACTCAGAGCTTACATTTCAGTGGGGCTCTAGCCTGAATCTGCTGGCGGCCAACAACTTAAACACAGTGCTGATCTTGTGTGAGCATGTGATGTCAGCTCACTGCAGCCAACAGGTGGCAGCAGTGCAGCTTACCCCAAGTCAGCTTAGCATCACTCAGTTCACCACAGGAGTGCACCTTGCTCTGCAGTCTGACATACACATCAAAGGAGTGTGTGTTACCAAGGTGAGCGTATAGCAGAAAATGTAGAAGTGATATTCCTCTGTACTTAAAAAAGGGCTCCCCTGTAAGGGTTTGCTTATGAAGAGAAGTAAAAATTTAAATTGATATTATTGTAACTGGATTTGTGTCATACCAACAGGACTCAGTGACAGTCTGGAGTGGCAAGCAGGTCACAGTATATGAGCTTTCAGGGACAGTTCTACACAATACAGGTACCACACACTAAGCAGTCCAAATAGAATGTTACAGATGTGACACTACAGGAACTGTCCTTATTCTCATGTCATTCATTTCACCCTTACTTTGTCAACTTTTTATTTTCATGTCTCTGCTTTTTCCACACCCCTACTTTCTAATATCCTAGGATCATTTCATTGTGACTCCCATATAGTAGCTGTACATGATGAGAACCTCTATACTGTGGAGCCTAACAGGGTACAGATCCGCACACCACAGGTCTGTTTGCCGGTCTTGGAATGTACTATGCGATATTCACTTAAGCACAGTTGTGATAAATGTTTGTGTTTTCAAAAGACAAACTGCTGAATTAGAATCAGCAAGTGTAATTTGTCATCATGAATACAGTTAATTTTAAATGTCTTTTCTTTAGGGCACAGTGAAGCAGCTGCTAACTTTCTCCAAAGCAGAAGGCAACCCTGTGCTACTCAGTGTGTGTCAGTCTTTCCTGGTTGTAGGCACGGATACAGCGCATATCAAAGTCTTTGACCTCTCCCGGAGGTATAGTGTCAGTGTGGATGTTGATATAACTTCCTCCTTTTAAAAATATAATAAAAAGAATGTCAGCTTCCAACTATTGTACATTTTTATTTATTGACAGTTTCTCTTTTCAAAGCACTTTCTTGTCAAACAATGCCCTTGTTTCAACATTTTTATAGAGATGCCAAGGCTCACTGCAGTGCTAAGAACCTGACTGAGCAGATTGCCAATCTTGGAGCGTTGAGGTCAGTCAAGTGTAATGCCAACGGCAACCAAGTCAGCATCCTGAGCTCTCAGGTGAATGGGTAGCCTGTCACAGTCACACTCTGTTTTCAGAAAAGCTGTTCAACACAGTATGTGTTTTTAAAAGGTCAGCATTATTTATAATTAGAGCGACAAGTCTGTATGTTATGCTCATTTTCTGACTCTTAAAATGCAACCATGCAAATATTGCTCTTCACTGAACTGAAGGTAACTTTTTCCTCTCAGGTTAATGGGCGACCTGATCACAAAGTGTACTTTTATGATGTTGAGATGGACACTGTGACACACTTTGACTTCTTCGTTGGCAGACCGTCCAGTGGTATCTCACAGCCAGAAGAAAGTGAAAGGTAACTGACATTACTTTTGTCTTTAACTGTATTCTGCCCATACAGAGCTTTCTCTTCTGGTTACCTTTTACCTATATGTCTGTTTTGTGTTTCAGGCAGCAGTTGCAGGGGACAGAGCTCAGTGGTCGGTGCCCTGTAACTCACTTTTGGGATGAGTGTGAACCTCGTCTTTTTGTCTGTGAGACCGTGCCCATCAGCTCTGAATCCTTAGCAGCTAGTTACTTGGACACGGTAAAGACTGCTTTTTAACACTGAGATAGTTCTGTGCAGCTCTATGAACAAAGCATGGTACTAATACTGCTGGAGGCTTTGACTTCCAGTTAAGCCAGAAAATACAGTCATTGCTACTGTGCACACATTTTTAGTAACAGTGAGAACTTAGTCACATATATTGTTGATTCATTGACTTATCCTAGACAGTCAGAATGCAGTTACATAAATTTGATTTTAATAGACTTAACGTAAAGAAGCTTCACAGTGTGTTGTCTTCTTTCTGTTTAGGTGGACGTGTCAGTGGTGACACTCTTCTGTACACAGGAGCATGGGCTCCTCCTACAGGACTGTTTCTCCAAACCTGCAGGCATGCAGGCTCTGCTTGCACTGGATGTGCCCTACTATTATTTCAGCTGCAAGGTGGGTTTTCTCTTTAAAAAGTTAGCCGCTAGCTGTTTCACATCTTGAACTTTCTTAAACATATTCCTTGTGTTTTTGCTTGCACCCAACACAATTCTTACGTGAAACTCTGTGTTTGGACATACATACCCCAGAAATTATTTCAGAGGGGTGAATCACCTGTTATTGGTGTTGATAGAATTTCCTGTGTGCTTTAACCCCCCTCAGCCAGGTGAGAGGGGGCCAGGGTTAACAGAGATTTCAGCCACAACATCGGCACCGCCACAACAGACGCAGCCATCAAGAGGGGCACCTGCCCAGCTACCCCATATAGTGTCCAGGCGAGCTCTCAGGGACTTTGTCGGTCTGGAGAGCTGTGAGAAGGCCACCCGTGATGCCATTCTCAACTTCAGCTTCTACCTGACCATTGGCGATATGGACGAAGCCTTCAAATCTATCAAGCTCATCAAGAGGTAGGGCCTCAGTATGTATGTATCATCCCTCTGTGTGTCAGCTCAGTGTTGTTTGTAATAAGATGCAGGATGGCATTCCCACTGTGGGCACACCCCCCTGTTGATTACTGTCATCACATCCCCCCACAAGTCCATTCCACAGGGGCTTTAGTTCAAAGACTAAGCACAGGCCACAGGGATAGCATTGTTACTACAGCCTTGACTCTTCTCAGAATGCTCTGCAGTGGTTTTCAGTGAGAGAGCTGTAATTAATCGCTTTTGACTTGTGTTGAGAATAGGACATTGTTGTCACTTTGCTTTTCTTCACCCATAATTTCACTCAGCATCTTTGACTTGTTGAGGCCAAACTCCCACAATAGTTCTGTAAACCTTAACTTTGGGAACTTAACACTGCCTATTTTGTTATTTGCGTTAGTTAGTCATATTTCTAAGCATTATGAACATTTCACACCAGGCACTTGACAGGAAATACTAGTAAATTATAAATACTGTATGTGCATCACTTAATAATATCTAGGTCTAAACTCAGCTGTTTGTTACAGTATGATGTTTTGATTAAATTAGATCCACAAGCACATGAAGTAGATTTTTAAACACAGGACATGATTAAGGACTTTTTCTGTCTCTTTGCTAAGAGAATGAACTCTTCACTTTGTATATACAGTATGTTTCTGTTAGTTGTGGGTGTGTTCTGGAGGGATGTACTTTTCTAAACACACTGTTACCCACGCACACACACACGTAGACACACACATATGAGTTCCCCCTGCCAGTTTTGTCCAAAAGGAATGCCCTTTCCATTCTTGCAAACATTCAATCAGGTCACTAAAAGAATGTGTGTGTCCATTCCTGTGTGTGTGCTTTGGGGAAACGTATATGTGATTTGAGCAAAGATCTGATATTATCTTTCACAGAATACTTGATTCAGGGCACTTGGTCTGAATTCTGCTGTAGCGTCACTTTTACGTGCACATTACGCAAATGGAAAAAAACCAAAAACAAACAACCACTGCCCAGATATTCCAATGAGATTAATAAGCCTGATGTGACACATGTACTAAGTTCGTCATGGATGGTTATTTTTACTGCTGCCTCTTTTTTTTTTTTAAAGATTGGCATTGTGTTCGATTCCCACATTTCTCCACCCACTTGAGTATGCATTTCCTGCAGCAGTAACCGCTATCTTTGGTAACTTGTGTCTGCAGTGACCCAGGAGTCAAACTTATTTCATCTCTATGTGAGGACATAAAATATCTGTTGGAAGTTGAGTTGTGCGCCCAAATCACATATGTGTACAGTAGGTGAGCTACCGGTATATACATGTTTGAACAACAAAATCCACTACCTCACTCTGATAATAAAACCTGGGAGTGCTGGGAATTTTATATCAGAGGAAGCTTGGGAGCCCAGCTTCTGTGTATCAATGGGGCTTTACTCGGATATTCTGCATTAAAGAGAAAAAATTATGAAAGTGAATAATTCACCTATTCATTTCATCTAAAACACATGCTCTCAATGTGAAAGTGCCTCTATCTCCCCAAGCAGTTTGGAATGTCTATATTCAGTCTCCACTGTGCTGCTTCCTGTCATTCAGGCTGACCTTGACTTTAGATGACATGCTGCAGGGTTATCTGGCCATTTGAACATTCTCTCACTGTCTTTCTTCCTTTGCATTTAAAAGTAAAATTCCCCCTTTCCATCAGAAACAAAAACACCAGATTAAGTGTTCAGAGGTGAGGCAGAGACTGATGTACGATGTTGTAGTCATCATAACTGGTTGTGGTTCATCTAACCCTCATGCACTACCATTTGTCTGCTGGATAGTATGTAATTAACCACACGAAACAGTGAGAGTTCCTCTCCACTTTTGGCTCATTGTTTTTCAAAGAAACTAAAACCATCATTCACTGTAGCAAAAATTTGAATTATACAAAATGTAGATAATTATACGTATCTTCAAAGAGGATAATGGTGGTGTTTGTATTGTATTTCATCAGGTTTGGGTCAGTTTACTTGTTTGAATTTCCACATGGTCTCATCTGACTGGAGTGGTGTTGGACACTAAAACAGTAGCAAAAACAACCACAGAATATTTACCAATAAATTTATTGAATTTATATGATATATTATTATTTTAATGTGCCTCTATGTTTCGCAGTGTGGAAGCCCCACAGATAACCTGGAATTCTTGGCAAAAATATGATATGGTCACAATAATACTACTGCAAATGATAGCACTATTTTTTACACAACTATATTATATTAATTTACATGTACCACAAGCGAGCGGAGCTTCATACAGAAAGTATCATGAAAAATGAACTTAAATATTGAAATGTGTGTGTCATCTCAAAATGCAGTACATTACCAAAGCATCTGTTACCAGCAGTTTAACAAATACTGCTTTGAAATTCCAAATCTATTCACATTCATTAACTTTCAGACCATTTGTCTTTTTTGTTTTCCTTTTTTCAAGAGGAAACATACTGTATTAACGTGGCAGTGACTGAGAGATTGAGGTTCCCTCTCATGTCTGTTAGTAAGTACGTGTTTATATTTATTATATTTATCAAAATCATCTCTCATTAAATATTGCCACTGATTTGGAGAAGCCTCTTAAAAACTTTGCTGAAGTTGACTAACTTTTCTGCTTTTACCTTATTCGTTCACCTTCTCAATTTGAGCTGATATCACTAACATTAGTATGTATTAAAATGTGATAAGCTTTAAAAGGACAAAAACAAATATGAGGTATTCTGGTATTATATTTTCAACATCTTTCTTAGTTTCCAATTTATAATTATGCAGGAGGCTGCGTAATGAGCGCACACACACATATAACAAAACAGGTCAAGTTCCAGCTTGATCTTTTCCTAGCAAGGATGTTTCATACGAGACAGTCATAGTCCCAGTTCAGTATTTAGCTAAGAATCAGCTCATCCAAAGTGAATAAATGAAACATCATTCAGTATTTGAATATGATTGGAAATTTAAGGCTGTTTTAGACATGAATTTCAGTTAAATTTGTGACTTCTGTGGACTGAGCAGCAAAATAATTCTGATTTCTAAGTGTATGGTGGAAGAAGTTGTGAAATAAAGTTGCAAGTACAAGTTAGTACAGCCATTGTAAAGCCACTCGAATGTCCTCCTCTCTTGAGAGTCACATTGGAATAACAGGAATAGACACGAGTAGTTGACAGCAGTGTCTTGCCACCATAGTTTATTACTCCTTACTGGCTTGGCTTGTGAGGTCACATGGCTCAACAAGGCGACTCCACGTAGTCATTGTCTTGACGTTGGTGGAAAGGAGATGCCAGTGAGCGACTGATGATTATAACTCGAGGTGCCAGGCAGTCATCGCGACGATGTAGAATGTTCCAGATGAGCATGGCTGCAGCCATCGTGGCCAGCAAGCAAGCAGCTATGTCCAAGTAGCAGGAGTAGGACAGGTGTGTGTATGGCCCAATCCTGTAGAAGGTCACAAGTCCAATCACCAGGACAAAACCTGTATAGGAGCACAGACAGAAAAGGCCTCAGCTAGTGAAAATTGTTACTAAGCTACTGCCAAGTACAAATAGTGTAATGCTAATTCTGGTATACTGATGTTGAGCAGGTAATTTTTACCATATTCACCACACAACTTTCAGGTCATTAGTCTTGCTAATATTTTGTTCTAAACTATATTTCAAAACTATAAGCTATAAATTTCATGATAATCCATCCAGTAATTAAGACATTTCACTCAGAAAAGTGAACATGCTGCTAACATGGCTAAAAACTCATTACACAATAGTTCTTCTAGCTGTTTTATGTGCATTACGAAGAATGTTTTCTTTAATGTGACTATATGTATATGTATTTGACGACTATCTTTATCTCAGTATTTCTTGGATATTCAGAAAACCACAGTTTTACGATATAAAGCAGTTTAACAGAATATGTGGCAAGTGTGACTAAATTGTCTCACTGGCTTTTTGAAATCCATCCACTTAGATATCCATCCCTGCAGCCATGTATTTCACAGTTCGACGGGGGCTCTGTGTGGAGTCTTTGAATTTGGAAATCTGTTTCCTCCTCGGAAGAACTTCTGAGATCTCAAGATGAAAGTTCTTAATAGTGTAAAAATATCAGAGTATGACTATGTGCTCAGAAAAGTCTTTGATTTATTTTATCTCCTGGACTCTTTTGAATCACAGTAGTTTAACTCACGCTAAGAGGAACTCCTGCTGAGAAAGGTAGAAAGCCACACAGTCTACAATTCCATGTTGTTTCTTTGCTCTTTGCTTTGATTTATCAGCATTATCTACAGTGGAAAGTCGTTCAGTGTCTCCATAGCCCAGACCTTTCCGCATTCTTTACCATTAGAGGTGTGTATGAAAGCCCACATCAGGCAATGCATTTCAAGTATTCTGAATTCAATTGTGGTTTGGAAACATTCAATAGTTCCACAATAAAACATGTCTGAAATTTTGCCCCATCTGCAGTGGTGTAAAGACAGTCACCAAAAATAATCACTGGAAATGGAAATGTTGGGGCTTTAGGACATGAATCAGTCCATTTCCTGAAGCAGTCAGTGACACCAAGGGTGGGAGATTTATATTTCTTTCTCTAGCTCTACAGTAAGATGGCCATCATTGTTTGTTTTAAGCGAGGATGTGAATAATTGTTTCTGCGCATCATTGCGTGTCTACCACTGTGTGTACACATGAGAATGCAGCAGTTTGCTCAGTCTGTTCATGTTTGACCTGTCTGGCTCCTTATCCAAGAAAATTAATAATCTCCTGTCCACGTTCCAGCCAGGGTAGGCTGTGTGAACCTCTTTTTTTGGCACAGACTTATCTCTCAAGCTTCCTTCCTCTTTTTACTCTTTCCATCCTTCCTTCCCTCCTCTCCACACCCTAAGCTTTGTGGTTAATGTATTTGCTGGACATTTGACATGAGATGTCATAGAGAAAATCTAAACAAGTCTTATCTAAAAGACAGGTCATGGAAATTATTCATTTGTTTTCCCTCTAGGTTGTAATATCTGTGTTTATTCCTTGAATGGAGTGACTAACCTGTCTGAATGTCTTACTCAAAGAAAAACAGAAATCTTTACCGCTTCCTTATTAACAGGAATTCTTAGAGTCGCAGACTTCTGGGAAAGCTTTGTAAACTAGGTTTACCATAACTAAATTGAGCCCATTTTCAGTTGCTCAAAATAAAAAGCAATGTGTCTCAGACTCCTGTGACCTGCAGTCATGACTTTTGACATGTTAGAGCTGTGTCCTTTCAGAAAACACATGCCAGAGTTGTCTCCATGGGTAAAATGACTGATATTGTGCTTTCAGCCTGAACTTGCCAACACAGCTGAGATATCACTGAATGGAACTGCATATTGTTATTCCACACTCTGCTTGCCATAGCTGAGCATTTTGGCATGTCTAAAAATGAAAACACTCCTGAGAAAGAGGGTAATGGGTAAAAATATCTCCATTCATTTAGAGCTGAAGCTCATTCACGTGTGGGGGGGGGGGCTTGTGGATTTGTAGAGGCCAATACAAGAATCTGTACTTGGGAAATGAGGCCATTTTACTTAAATATACATCAATTCTTTATTCTTATCTTAGGAAGTAAGCCTTCATATTTTATTAAAACCCACAACAGATGAGACATTTTAAGATGCAGAGAGTCTAAGAATGAAAAAAAAATATTTTTCCCATATGTAACTAAGATTATACATGAGGCCCAAGATAAATCGTATCAATTTTACTTTTTATTAATACTCCCCTGACTATCCTTTTTTGGTCGGGAACATCCCTTTTGCCAAGATACATCCTCCTACTCAGCAGCTTTGTTGACCATTTTTGGTAAGAGTCATGAGGTCAAGATGCCATTTTCATAGAAAGAATTATTTTTAGATTTCAAGGAAATAGGTGTGTGTTGTGTATTTCTTTTTAGACTTTGTTGCTATTCTTACCATGCATTTGCAGGGTTTTCCCGAGGTTTTCAGAGGGCTTGGGTGCATTCAAGGTCAGGGTGGTGGTTGGATGTTTTGAAAAAATTATAGAAGGAAATTTTGATTTATTTTGGTTGTTTTTTTTTTTTTTTTTTTTTTTTTTTTTTTTTTTGTTTTTTTTTGTTTTGTTTTTTCAACCGTTGGGAAAGTTGGCAACACTTATAGTCAAAAGTCAATTCTCTTTTTTTCTTTCTTTTTTGTCAACACATAGAATTCTCCATGTTATTTATTTTTAGCATATAGTCATTCTGATATATCACCTAAAGGCATTTTTATATTAATTTGGCTTAAGGTGCTGTGCAAAACACTTTCTATAGCAGGAAAAACCCTGATTTATGTAAATAGTTTCTCAGATCACCACTGACTACATTAAAAACTTAACAGTAAAACAGCTGTATATATTCATAGCTCATTTTAGAGAGAATGATTTAGGGGATAGGACATCTGTTTATTTATCCATTGTCTTTATTAAACATGCTTTAATGCTCCTGGTTGCTGAGGTGTGGCTATTGTTATTGTCTAATACTGGAAAATACAGTAACATTGGGTGGGTCTCAATCCTCTCACCAAGGTCTTTAGATAAAAGCTCTAAACCCTGCTGCAGTGCATGCTGAAGATGCTAACGATAAAGAGGAGATTCTTTTATTTTTGCCACTGCTCTTGGACATTTTGTAAACACAGATATAAAAGCTAAGCTAGCTTATCTAGACAGAGGCAATTCCCACCCTGCTGTTGTGTGTATCACAGAAAATTAGTCTATCCAAGCACACACTCGCAACACATACATTGCCATACACAAAAATGCATGCACATTATCCCTTCTGCTAGCACACACACAAGCATGCAGTCCCTGTCGAAACTGTCTTTCCCGTTTATTCCCCCCCTCTTCCTTCTTCAGCTTGGGGGTATGCATAACAGGTAGTCACAGACATTTCCTCGTCCTGAGTAGGGATATCCTGGCGCCCAATAGTCGCTCACTGGCTCGCTGCAGCTCTGGCCCATGGATTCTGGACTGGGACTAAAATTAGACCCAGAGCAGACCCCCTTCATGCTGCACTGCCGCAATGATACCAGGCAGCTGAAACACCACACACAGCACAACACACTTCCTCAGCAGGGGCACTAGGACAGGCCATGCCAGCCAACTCTTGAAGTGACACGGTGGGGTGGATGTATGGGCGCTGGGTGTAGAAAGGGGGGTTTGTTACCATGACTGTACTATGACATGTCCTACTATTTGCTTTTCTTGTTTGCCTCATTTTCATCCCTGTCAGTTTGGCTGGTCTCTTGGTTAATTTGGTTTTTATTCTTTGCTTTTCTTCATTAATACAACAGTTTTTTAGTATATGGCAACACTGTAGTGCCTTTGCTTCATCCGATTTCATGTTTAGCGATAGGTGTGTAGTCTCTAAGTAAAGTTCACTGGAAACAACAGATGAGATCGTATCCTGTCAAATTCCAGAGAGGCAAAAAATCCACTTCAGAACCTTTATTGCCAATTCAGTTTTCGCATAATAGAGAAAATGTGAGGCGCTAACAAATAACTTCTTTAAAAGAAAATGATATTTTTAAAAAAAGTAGCATTAATGAATAGTAGAACCAAGAACGGTATTAATGGATTCCACCCTTTAGTAATTTTTTTTCCCCCCTACCATCTGCGTAAAGTATATATGAAAATAATGTTATCTAGCTGGGGTAAAGATTGTAAAATTTTGCTCTTTTCTTGTGTCAGAAGGTTTTCATAGGGTCTTCCTGCAATATTTGCCCGAGTCACATTTCATGTATTGGACTGGCAGATGGCTTAGCTTCTCCTTGTGATTTCATCCCCTTCTCTTTGACATTCTACCAGAGCAAATGTAAATTTAGTTCTCCACCATCTAGATTTCTCTCTCTGTCAGAATGACGTAATGTTCGTCAAATTCTAAGTGAAAGGATACTTGGCATCTTCATCAGAAAGTTCTTTCTCTGAGTCTTGTCTTTCTGCTGGTGCACAGCAATTAAATGCTTAAGCTTTAGGAACACTGGTACTCACTGGCTAGCTGGAAGAGTGCAGCAATGGCCTCCTCCCACCACTGTGATTGCTGCATGATGAAAGGCAGCTCCATCAGGCCCAGAAGGAAAATCAGCTGACCGACAGTCAGGGCCACCGTTGCCATCAGGTTACATGCTCGCATCATGTCAAACTGCACTTGAGGGACCAAAAGAAGAGTTGTGTCATATTTCCTGCATTATGATCTAAATTAATTTATGACAAGATAGGTTAAGGTTAAAACAGAAGGCTTGATCTTGAAAAGGATATTCTGATCATATGTCTGAATGCAGGAACCTTAATACAGTAAACATTTGTAAGAAGGTGACACTGACATGCTTACTATTTTATCATGAATGGTGTCTTTGTCGGACACTGCCGGGCAGTGCTGCCCCTTGTGCCCAGTAAAGTCGGTGAATGAATGCTCAGCATTTCCCATTCTTGTTCTTGAATGGAAATTTCTGAATGGAGTGTAATTAAATAAAGCACATAAACCCATAACAACACTGGCTCTGTTTTAAAGCAGATTTAGAAAGCACTTGAACCTTGTTGCCAACTTTATTGCCAACAAAAGGATGAACTTGCTTTGCAATAGGTATTGTAAAATCTTGGTTGCCTATCATGTACTAATGTTTACACTAATAGATTAGAAGGTTGCAAAACTAAAGTGAGGCACTTAGATTTAATTTATGCATGTATTTGTCAAGTTCATCTGGTGGTGTTAATCTAGTGAATTCATTGTTTTGGTTTTGAGTTTTAACAAATAGTTCATCTCTCACATACAATCATCCCCCGAGTCACAGGCTCCTGAAAAAAGAATTTACTTCTTTGCTGATTCACAGTGAAATTCTTCTGCAGTGCATTGCAAAAGGAAAAGAACAAAAATGACTACAGTATTACATGGGACACAAAAATACCCCTACCCCTGTATTTATTTCTGTTGAAAACTACTAAGATACATCTTGGACATGCCAATAAATCAGTCAACCAGTCCAATGAGAAAAAGATTAGAAGGATTTTGGAAAGCACTTACGTTTGACTGTACTGCGGGATTCTTGGTAGCCTGCATACTCGGATCCCCATCCAAGGCCTTCACACTGCCTCTGTGTTCCTTGCCCTCTTCTCCCAGCCTGGAGGTCATCACGGGCCCTTTCCCCTCCACTGGGGCACATCCTCCATAGTCCCACACTCCGCTTGCGTCCATCCTCCAGAGCTTGCAGGACCCAACTTGGGGTGAAGGCTGCAACATTGTTTAGAACCAGGGACAGCAGGGCTACTGCCACCGCCGCCACCACCAGCCTCTGCACGGCCATGCGACGCCCGACAACTGCCACCTCTCCCCCTCCCTCGTGTTCCTCCTCACTGTCCTGCCCGGTCCCCTGCCTCTCTTCTGGGGCAGTAGCACCAGTAGTGCTCCAGGCCCCCCCCCCCGCCCCCCCCAGCCTCTGCACGGCCATGCGACGCCCGACAACTGCCACCTCTCCCCCTCCCTCGTGTTCCTCCTCACTGTCCTGCCCGGTCCCCTGCCTCTCTTCTGGGGCAGTAGCACCAGTAGTGCTCCAGGCCCCCTGGTTCCTCTCCACCTCCTCCTCCACCACCACCACCTCGTCCTCCTCCAGTTGTTAGCTTGTGCTGTCCCAGCTCGCACCGAGGTGGATTTAGCAAGAGTGTTTTCTTGAGGTTTAGCTAAAGAACATCTCCATTCATCCTCATTCAGGAGTGGGTTGACGTTGCAGCAGATCCTCAGCCCTCCTCCTCAAACAGCACTGCGGGTACATGGGAATTAATCCAACTGGCACCTTGGTCCATTCCACTGGCTCTGGTGGGCTGCAGCTTCACTCTTCTGGCTCCTTGCTTTTCTCCTGTTTTCCCTTTTGTACTTTATCTTTGCTTTTTCCTTTCTTCAGTATTTTGCTTATTGCATTGGCCTGACTTCTGCATGTGCAGCTGGATTCTCTGTGTAGGCAGTAGATGGTTTTG